AAAATTTCTCACAGGACACTTCAAACAATTTGATATAATAAACATGTTAATACAATCATTTTCTCACAATGCTGCCATTCATGCATCGATGCACTTTTCATTTCGTACCTGTTTCGTAAAAAATAACGGTATGATAAAGAGGCGCTAATTTCTCTAATAAATTTTGAATCATTTCGAGCTAAACTTATACTTATAAAGGTTTTTAAAATAGATCCAACAATTTTATAAAATTAAGAGAAATATATACGTTATAGACTTCTAGAAAAATAAGAAATAAGTTAGAAAATTTTTGAAAAAATAAAGCAATACATTTTAAACCTTTTTAAAATTCTTTTTGAGGAAATATACTTCAAAAACAAATTTTTCATAATTTATTTAAATATCTAAAAAAATATTTTTATTTCCAAAGAAATAATTTTTTAAATGCAAAATACTTTTTTGTATTTTTTATGACAATTAAAAATGTAATAACAATTGTTCCGCTTAACTTTATATCATCTTCAGGTTCCTATAAAGTTTCGTTCGATTTAAGTAGCATTTCTTACTTCATATTGATATCATACGACTGACCGAATGGATAACATCTTGGACTATCAACCAACACATCTCATGATCGAACCTAACGTAACGCAGTAAGTTCCAAAATTTTAATCGGATCGATAAATTACAAAAAATACGTTGTGATGCGCATTGTAAACACAAACGAAAAAAAAACATAGTCTACTCATTTGTTTTTGGATTCCTATTTCTGAAAGATTGTTAACGCGTTTTTTAAGGCGCTTGTCGGAATGGAAATTGCAATTAACCCTTTTTGAGTATGGAACAAAAGTAATAAACCCTTTGAGGGTATGGAGTAAAAGTAAAAAACCCTTTTGGGGGTATGGAACAAAAGTAATAAACCCTTTGAAGGGTTTATGAAAGTGCAACGGATCATAAACCCTTTAAGGGTATATTATTATACGGTTTTTTTACAGTGCACACGCACCCACACCCACACCCTAGTACGTAGGAAAGCATCCAAATAAGTACTGACATTCGAAAATGTTTGAAGAAGTTCATGGCTCCAAAAGTAGCTGAACATATTATGAAGGAGCTCGATGGGAAATGTGTCTAACCGACAAGTAGTCATGTATACATCAGAAATCTGCATGAAGTTCGAAAATTTATCTTCCAGCATTGTTATGCAAATCTGCTGTAAATGCGCAATGATTGTGCAATTATTTATATACGCTGTTTTGTTTGTTGATACGGCTACTCACGTATGTTATGACAAAGGAAGAAAACAATCAAAAGAAGCACATCTATCTAGTCAGAATATGTCTAAAAAATCCGATAAAACACATTTGTGTTACAGAGTGAATCGACTAGTGCGCAATGATGGTGTAACAACATCTAGAAGCCATAGAAGAAGTTTCTAATTGGCGCTACCTAAATGTTTGCATAACAATTTTTCCGAGAAACGTATTAAAATTAATTAGGGATAGTTGTTTTTGAAAGATTGGCTGAACATAAAACAAAACTTGTAGATGCAAACATCCCAGGAGCATGAATCCGAGCTTAGGATCCGAATAGATCCCATGGGTTCCGATCGGAATCCGATAGAATATCTTCGGATTTTTTAAGGGAACTATCGGAATATCCATGGAATCCTGGTGACGGAATTGATGTCGGATCCTATTGTCGGAAAACTATGAAATCCGATTAAATCCATCAATCGGAAGCCAACAGGAAATACACATATTCCGACGAACGGACGATGAAGTCAAACTATCGGAAGGAGAATCCGACAAATTCCGATAGTAAACCACGGGATTTTGAAGGTTTTCCACAGGAAACAATCGGAAATCGTACCGACGGAAATCTACAGCATAGAACCAACGGAATCGGTCGGATAGAGCCGATTCCGCCAGGATCCAACGAAAACCAGGCACAACCCATGAAATCCCATGAAATCCGATGCGGAAAATACAAAAGAACAATCAACTAAGATATTGCGTTCTTAAAAACCAATAACAAGCTAGATGGCTGGAGCGGCTAGCTCACCGCTATGTCCCAGGCCATTCAAAGCTGATTGAATTCACTTTTCCAAACCAACTGAATACTTTTCTTTTCTCTTCACAAAGATCATCGCGAAGATCATTTGCAACAGGCAAATCAAACCACATCATGCTCCAAAACAATATATTCACTCTAACCGCCAATATTAGCCACTATCTAAAAAAACCTCTTCTGAGATCTAAGCTGTAAATAGTGAAAACTAAACAATAAATTTTAACAACCATATTCAAAAGAGCACTTGAAACAATGTCTTTAATATTTCGCATACTCCAATATTCATAAAAACGAAAAGCTCATGGACCCAATTCTACCAACCAGAAACAAAAGATACCTTGTATACATATTAAAATATAAAGCTACCACGAAACCGTCGATCCATTCCTAACCAACTAACAAAAAATCACGAATATACTCAGTACACCACTATCTGCTCAACTAAATTCAACGAAATTTCTCCCGACTTCCATTTTTTACTACATCACAACTACACCACATCATGATTTTCAAAATTCTCGTGCTGACTGAATTAATGTAAATTGCAAAGCAACATTAACTTATCTTAAACAGGATTCTCAGCCAACACCTCACCATTCTGTTTTCAAGCTATCCCTTCTTTAGAATGATGCTTTTCATGGTTGTGTTAGTGTTCTCGAACGATAACACACCCAGCTAATACAGAAAATTTCGACTAAATATCCGAGGAAAATTTTTGAATTTTTCCTTTATGAGGCTAAGTCTTCTTAGGAATGATAGTTTTGATGGTTCTACTAGTGTTCTAGAGTTAGAATATACAAAGTTGATAATGAAAATTATGAGAAAATATTCATTGAGATTTTCAAAAATTTCATTTGCGAGGCTAAGTATTCTTAGAAATGATGGTTTTGATGGTTCTGCCAGTGTTCTAGAGTTAAAATATACCAAGCTAACACTGAAAAGTTTGAGAAAAAATTGAAGTCAAATTTCAGAATTTTTCATTTTTGGCGATCAGTGCTATCTTGGAGTCGAGAAAACCAGATTTGGATTGATAGAAACTGAAAATAGTAATGAAGTAGCTTGAGATAATATGTTTATTGATCGTTTTTATCAGTATTATGATCGTAAAAAAGTGGAAAGTAGAACTTCGAATCTGGAAAACATTGAGTAATCATGAAAGGAAAAGCTCAGTTTATCGCTGACGTTGCTCTATGGAATGTGTAAATTGATCGGTATATTGGTCTTTTAGGCTATGAAAATGCGAAAAAGAGCTTTGTGAATGTGTGGGGAAGCAATTTTTTTTTAAATGGAAAATCGTGAATATTTCTACCATGGCTGGGAAAAATTTGGCATTCCCTGTTTTCGATTGTTTTGTCGATCATGATGATGTGCGAACTCGTCGCGTCTCATTTGGTTTCTTAAGTTGGGTAATCGTCTTTCCTGAGTGTTGTTATACAGTGGCATCTATGGGTCATAAGTTTTTCTTAGATAGAGGTAATTTCATAGATGTTTTAATGTGAAGCGAAAAGTACGGATATGTGCATTGCATAGATTAAATGGGTGTAGTTTTCGTCGTTTGTTGGATTGATAAAAATGTAACGTATGATGCACTATTTCATATAATATGCATACAGTTTTACTCTCCTGACTTAATCTTTTGTTAAGAGTTTAGATTGATTCGAAGTCTTTCTCTGTATTCATCCGATTTCATATCTTTCTTGTGGTGGATTGCATCTGAAATATGAGTGATATGGATGTGATAGATGAGTTGAAGGCGAACCCGAACGGTAATGATGGTTGATGGTGTTCAATTTTTTTTAATATTTTTCTTGTTGTTCGTCAGGTAATAGTACAAAGACGGTAGGTTATGCATCTTTGTGTTCATGCGATAATGAACTGGAAATGCATGTTTGGTGTGGTTCGAATGTCAAGATGAATGCAGCTGCACCGAACGGAAATATGTTTGTTATTGAAGATAGCTCGGTCGAAAATGAATTAATTAGCGATCCCATATCATTTGTGAATGGTGAAAAAGAGCATCAAACCATTGATTTATTAATTGATGAAGAAACCTCGTCACTTTCAAACGATCCGGATAGTAGGTTTTCCATGTTGTAATATTTTTGCAATTAGCTACTTTGTAGATTCATTACGGCTTGGTGGAAAGCGAACTTTGGAAGAAGATGAGAGTACTTGTGTTAATATAAGTGAAAATGATGCTTCGTTGGGAAAAATATCTTTAGAAAATTTTAAAAGCTTAAGAAGAAAAATTTTCAAGCTTGAACAAGAAGTGAACAAGATGAAAAAAGAGTTTAAAGGTAAACAATGTAACTCCTAGTATCTTGTAACATCCCAGATAGCTATTCCGACATGAACCTATGATGTTATTTAGCTGGCTTAGTTAGTCACATGATCATTTTCCAGTACATAAGTATGAAGAAGTCGTGTCGAATAAGTTTATCTCATTATCGAGTTACGATATTCGATACCGAAAAATCTTGAAATCACGTAAACGAATCTGTTAAAAAGTAAAAAATGATGGTTCTTTAACCAAAGTCAATAACCCAATTTTTGAAGTTAATTTTTTGACACACCACTGATTATCAAATGTAATGATTAATAATTGATTTGCTCATAAAATATTTCGTCTTTTTTCGAAATTTTTGTACATTTCATAACTTTTAGTAAATAATCAGTCGTTAGATTTCTGGATCTAAATATTTTTTGTATATGAGGTCATTAGGGGCCGAATTTCGTATCGAAATAAAGAATTATGAGCGGAATAATTGTTTTATTCATATTATCATCTTTCTATTCTAGACAATTCTAAAAAGGTTCCACGAGAGCATCAGGTGTATTTAAATCCATATAATGGTGATTTTTGTGATAAGGTAGCAGATTTACTAGGAATCAACCAGGTGACACTTAGATCATGTCATAGGAAAACGTCAACTGCAACATGTCGAAATATATTAAAAAAAACTATTCGCAGCTCTCGTCCGGTATAAAATTTTCTTATATTGAAAGTTCGATCATCGATGCTATTATAAGTAATCAGCTATTTAAATTATTTCAAATTTTTATATTTGTTCTATAGAATACACTAAAATATCAAATCCATCCAATACAACCACAGAAAATAAAATAAGGCGCTCTATGAGCTTGTACTTTTCTGAGAAAGCTTATAAAGCAAAACAAGGAACTGGATATCAAAGAAAGAAGATACAAAAATGCTAATGTTTACGTTCTTGAAAAAGAAATAAAACATTCCTTCTCTTGTCGAATAAATGAGAAGGTTTAATTTTAGTGTTACACTTTCTTTTTCTGTCAGTTATATACTGAAAAATTGTTATTTGATGCTGTAAAATTGAATTTTTCTAGAAGAAATATGTGAATAAAAATTATTTCTTCTAGTCTTTTTTATGTCGAGATGATTTCTGCATGTTTTGATTTTATTATTATGTCGTGTTCATTTATTTACATATAGAAATATATTTATCAGAATGAACGCTGTATTTATTTATTTCTCTGGCCAATTACGGCATGTACTTCGAAGACTTCCACACATTTTGTATGACTCACATTTGATCGTAGACATCCAAATGAGCCATTGCCATTGCTTTGAATCAAATTTATCATAAATGAAACAGTCAATGGCAATCGGGACAACTAAATAGTCGGAATTTCATGCAAAAGTCTCTTTTTAGTTTTAGTTTTAAACTTTAATGACCATGCAATGTTTAAAATAATGATTTGCGTAAAATGTATGATGCAAAATAAGAATGAACGTAATATTATGAGGGAACTAGTGTAAATTTTAAGCATAAAATTTCATGATTGTAATTATTACAGCAATATTAATATTTTATAAGAGAATAGAAAGAACGAAACCTATGACTTATATAACTATTATAGCATTCATAATGGTTAGATCTAATAGCTTTACGCTTGCTACTTAAAGAGGCTAGGACTATTGGTAATCACAACATGAAAATGAAAATTTTCATCATTCTTCTATATGGTTCAATTAATTTATACAAGTTCGTGTTTGACTACGATCATTAACTCGATGACAGTTTATCATTAAGACTTTTACAAAAATAGGATATGAATATTCTTGGTAAAAATGGAAAATTTTAATATATTACGTCATTATCATAACACAAAATACTTCTATAGTTTATCAGCACAGTTTTTAATAATTGAGATCCTTATACTCATCGCAGAAAATATATTATTCGTTATTGATGTGACTCTGAGTTTTGGGGTTATTGATGATATATGCAATGAATTTTGTCCACATAAGATCCTTTGTTGAGGTTAAAATGACATATGATACCTTATAAAATAATAAAAAAAGATCAAAACAAAAGAATAAGGAGGAAAGTAGTAAATAATATTTCATATTCTCCTCCTTGGCAACATGATACTAAAAACTGTTCATCGTCTTTGTCAAAAACCATTCAATTCAAATGATTCGTATTTTCTGTGCTTCAGTCGTTGTTGGCTGTGTTAGATAATTGCTGTTGATCATGAACTGGGAGTTGTTCATCATGTCTTGGTTGTTGTTGATGATGACTTGGTGCTTCTTGAAGATGAGTTGGTTGCTGTTGATGTTGTCGATTATTAGTAAGTTTTTCTTTTCTTTTGATTTGTAGCTTTCGTTCATCGCACAAAAAATCGACAAGTTTTCGCCGCAAAAAAAATGATAAAATTCATCATATTTATTCGAAGCAATTCGATATTTATTTCGAATGGCATCTAAAATTAATTACAATAAAAATCAATGGATATGAACATTCAACTAGAATTAGTGGAAAATCTTTCGTTTGTTTTGCCTGATATGATATAAATGATTTAATCGTTATAAAGCAAACATACCGTGAAACTTTCTGAATCAAACTATGTCAAGTGGTTTACGAGCGAAATGTGTTAAATCAGTAGGTAAAATTGATGAGCACAATTCTTCAGTTGTATATAAAATTCGAAGAATTTGACGCGCATAATCACCGTAATTTCTCGCACAAACATCCAATAGATTTACACTACCACATAACTATATGATAAAAATAATATTTTAATGACATCTATATTTATATAATTAAAAATATTCTTTTACCACTTCCAACTGAAAACCATCTGCTGATGAAGATTTGAATTGGTCCAGAGAGCTATTTTTCTAAAAAATATAAAATTTATAATGCAATAATGGCCAATTTCGAGCATATTATGATGTTTATGTTTAAAAAATTGAACGATTCAGTTCCCGACAATTTATATGTTTTTTTTCCATTTACTGTACATAGGTCAGGGAAAGTTTTGATTCTTATTTAAATTTATATAAATATTTTATTGTTTTGAATTTGAAGTTCCATGACTCTTATCATGAAATACGTAGAGCAACAAGATGTGACTCGTGTGAACATAGGTATCCAAATATTTTTAGATAAAAGTTTGTAACAATATCTTTAAAGGTTGTTTAATGATTTTGATTTTACAATTATTTTCATCGTGAATACGTCTTACAGTATCACATTAGTTACTTACCGATGACAGACACGCAGAAGTTAACCTGTTGAATCGTTTCTCAAACTTTTTCATATCATTATTAAACGAAGTATTTAATTTGATATAAACGTTGTTGATGTCTATAGAGCCAAAATTACGAATGAAAAGGAAGAATACTAAAGAGGATTTGCTATGAGTTCATTTCATACCGTTTCGAATTGACTGACATATATTATTTTCTGTAATGGTAATTGATGATTTTGATGCAATATTTTGCTGAGAAATACGGCTTATGTATGCTAAAAAGTATATGTGGCCAAGTAGAAAAGTGAATATTGCTGTACATCAATGTTACAATAGGATACACGCACTATTTTCACTCTGCTGTTCGTTTCTGGGATGTTGATCGGTGCCAGAAGTTTGATTTGTATGTTCAACTAATGAAAAAATCATCATTTAAGAAAATTAAAATCAAACCTTAATAATTAACATGAAGAGTTACATACTCATGTTAATACGTCCATTATCATCAGTTATATCAATATTTTCTTTATCAAATACGGGACAAGATGATGCAGTTCTCACTATTTTTTTTGCCGGTTGATTGACTAAAATAAATGAATAAATTACATTTGTATAACTTTTTGAACTAGTTGATTTTAAAAGTAATATAATTCATACCAATATCGTCATCTTCACTAACATCAATGTCATCATCAGCCTCATCATCACTTTCATCGTCAAAAGTTAGTAATGGCATATGAGTAACTTTTGATCCAACTAATCTTATTCGTTTTTGATTGAGATCAACAGCTATAGAAATAAAGAATTAAAACTTTTTATCAGAAGCTAAGAATTGCGTTACAAAAGTACAAGGTTTTGAACGCCACAGAAAATTAATTTGAATACCTCATATATGACCTCTTTTCAAAAACGATATGAACTCTGTTCTGATCGACAGTGATATTACGTTAAACTTTTCTGCTGTACTGCTTTCTGTCGTAGTTACTTTGAATAAAAGCATTCATATTCGTTAATCTGTTAAATTATTGAAATGAGTTTTCAGCCTTTTAATTAGTAAAATGTTGAAGATTATGTATATTATATTTTTACTTTTAGTTACATGATTACTTAATTGAACTTATTGCAATTGCCTCTTTTAAAATTGAAAGTGAATCAATAAACGCTCTGATGTGTCTAACAAATCTCATACCTTTTGGATTAAGAGGTGGATCTGCTGTTGTCTGTAAAAATGGAGATAGTGGTAGTTGTGGTGGTGGTAATTGTAATGGTGGCGGAGTTGTTGGTGTAAATCTTTTTGGACGTGCTATAACACGACCTCGATTAGTTACCATTCTTTGTGTACTATTCATTTGATACTTTTATCTAAAATAAATATATTTGCTTTCAGTATCACCTTCAAGTTTAACAGTATACCGGACATTAAATGAATGAATAGATTAAACACATCCGAACATTCACTTACTAGCATTAGATAACACGACGAAAACTAATTGTATAGCAGTCCTCTCCATTGTAAATATTTAACTTCTTTAAATAACTCTCATCTGCTTGCGTGGTATGTTGTTCATATTTTCTTTAACCAGGGTTTGATACAAAAAAGAGAAAATACCATACAGAAAAGGCATGCTTTATTTACTCTATGTATGCATATGTACACATACAGATATATATGTATGTTTCGCTGACTGTGCATGCATGCAGGGCGAAATTATCATAATAAATTCAAATAGACCTGGAACATGTAGCACTAAAACGATATTACAGTTAAAGATGAAATCATATTACTTTATTTTGCTTTTCAACTGATTAAAAGTTCAAGTCTTTTTCAAAACATTAATAAAAATTAAGAGTGTCTCATTTCCTCATTGATGCTAAGATATGCAGTCATAGCATGCTTAGATACGGAAATAAGATATGATTTTTTACATTAGAGTTTCTAAAAAGACATTAAAACAACAACAAAAAAAATGTAATGAGAAAAGTGTCATCTAGATTAGTATCGTAATTATTTGTGTGTTTCCAAGAACACTTTTAAAGTTTCAAATTTTCGAACAATATTTTTTTAATATTAAACAAAGTCTATATATAATTATATAAACCTGATTTTGAAGATAATAAATGTGTTTGAAAAAAGAAAAGCTTCTTGTGAAATGCTATACACCATAGCTGATTCAATAAGGTAAATCAGGCGAGAATAGCAATAGACCTATGTTTTTGTCTACTGTCACAAACAAGCTATAATATAATTTTTTTCATGAGTATTTATCGCTTCTTCTGCTATATTAATTTGACGAATTTTGAGCCTTATTTATTTTAATTATGGGTGCAAGTATAAATTTAAATGAATAACTATCGATGTATGTATTTCATTCACTAATGGCTCAGTTGATGATGTCTTTTCCCCTTAATCGGATTTATATATCATGTGTGATTCTGAGCTGCATAAAAAATCGCGCTGCTTATTTATATGTGAATTACACTTATCAGATTCATGTACAATTTCGATTCACAATTGATTACAAACCGTTCGATTGGTTCGTCTTTTGATATAATAAAGCGATGGATTTCATGAAATTTATGCGTTTAATCATGTTCATCGTAAAAAGATATCGGAGTTACAATAACACAATTCTTGTCATCATCAGCAAGAAAAACAACACAATGTTTTACAATCTCTTTCACAGATATACACAAACGAACATCCGATGCATATAATACAAAAAAAATTTACCTAGTGGCTCATGAAGTATATTATAAAATTTTGATTTTTCAAAATAAGCACTAAATGGATATTTAGAATTGTATTTTCTAATACACGCATATAGATTGTCCTTCTGTTGGAAAAAAATTGCTATTTCGCCAAATTCTAAATCAATACCATTATTTGAAAATTGTACAAAGAGATTGTTCGAATTTCCTCCTTTTTTATACAGTAAAGAGTGATATATATAACCATGTTTTGCACATCTTTTAAAAAATTTGATACAAGACTCTATCGATGAACATGAACAAACAGCGTGCTGTAGAACAATCATTCTATCTTTGTAATAATGTGTATCTAAAACGATATCTAACCCTTGATTAATGCTTGATGATGAAGTTGTTGATTTATGATTGCTGAGGTACATATCAATATTGTAATAATGCAATATTAAATCTCCCAAATGTCGAGTTCCTAAATGAAAAAAAAACTATTGTATGATTAAACTTTAAACTTTTCTTCTAGTTACCGCCAATTTGATACTTACCATTTCGATTGCTTGATATGTAGCCAATAAAATCCACCTGTGAAAAAGTATTTATATAAGCTAATGAACCGTGACGCTGATAAATTTCAGCAAAGTGGCTACGCAAATGAAGCACAAAATTTGCTAAAAATTTATAGTAATCGGAATGATGCTTATAGTAAGTCTTTAATAATTCATCAGCCATGGTACTAATTGAACTACTAATCTTACATGGTGATGTATGTAATAAACGAATACCACAAATAAATAAACACATATGCGCTGCTTAATCAACAGGTAAAATTTTATAAAAATTAGGAATAAATCCGTAAAAAAGTAGATTTTTTAATTCAGTTGCTTTAATAAAACTTAAATTTTCAATTCCCCGCATTTTCCTATGAAAAAGTTCGGAAATGCCTGCTTGACTAACTTTTGCTCAATTTGTTTACGAACTTTTGTTGGTAATGAACAAGAAATTGCTTTAATTACGTCACGGAAATGGCGTAATAAGATAACATGTTGATAGTCACAAATTATAGCATATGGAAGTGGTATGTCAATAATCCCATCTAATATACTTCTGCCATGGTGACCATACACTTTCAATTTATTTGACTCAGCTAATTGACTATGATTGTTAAACGATGTAGGATCACGAGCGCAAACAGGATCTGAATAAATATATTGACGTTTTCTACATCTTCGATCATGTTTACCTTTTATAAAGCAATAAAAGCAGCAGAAATATCCTGTATGACTAATGAAGTTGAGAATAAGTGACAGAGCAGAACAATCAGCAATTATTCCATAATAAAAAACGTTGTATTTTATGGGTACGCTACCAACAATAATACCTAAAATAAAAAAACAAGAGTTATATCATGAAAAAGATTATTTCTAGTAAAATGTGCCTTCCAGTTTAAGTATTTTCAGCATCTCGATTGTTTTATCCAACCACATATGAATATTTGGCTCTCTGTATCCAACCCAAACAGAAACTACTGGCATATTACAACGTTTATAACGTAATCTTGCTGGTAGCTCAATAATCGAAGCGCTAAAAAGCCAAAGATTGAGTTTACTACTTTTACATAATCCGATGCCGTCAACATGAAATAATAGACTAATGAAATTACTATCATGTTTCAATAAATTTTAATAACAAGATGCAAACGGAATATCGCTTGATTGTTTATTAATTTCTTGAGATTCTTTCGAAATTTGCTTTTTATAACCGTTAATTTCATTGTACACTCTAATCAATATTGACTTTAACAAGAGCGGAAAATTTGTATCATATATCATTACTAATTTGGTTTTGTTGAAATCGGGACAAAGAGAGCATTCACTTTTGTCTAAGACCAACTCTCTATTACATATAGAACATATTATTCTTTTTTCATAGTTTTTTTCGATATTCAGGATTGACATTAATTCTTTCGTCTTTTTTGGAGAAGAATTGGGTGTTGGCAAAATGCTGTTGATGAAAAACAATAATTTTTCTGATTGGATTTTACTTATTTGAGAATCACGCAATAACTTTAATAGTTGTATACAAGCATCTGCAGTTTTATTTGCTGCGTAGGAATGCAGTTGATCGTTAGCCGTAGTTAAATATCGTTGTTCTTCGTTATCTTCGGCTGCATCTTCTGATGATTCAGATGCATCAAACGAATCAAGCATATAAATACTGTCATCATCATCATCATCATCATCATCATCATCATCACCTGAATCAGAATCAGATTCATCAGGTGAATTATTCATTGGATCTATTACGTTCGCATCATACGCAGATTAATTAGACAACACGCTTGAAGTTTCATTAACTTCCATAGGTTCGTCATCCATATGAGTACATAGACCTTCAAATGACAGATGATCTTCTCGAGATGAAGCGACATGCTTGTTCATATTGAAGGTTTGCATTCGTGATAAGCGTCGAGATTGATTATAATTATTGCGTATCGCACGACCATCCTCAATTTCTTGATCAATGCTATCTGCTATCCATTTATCCATCTTGTGTTGACTAATAAATAAATTGCAAAAATGATTTGCTATTTAAATAATCTAAAAAGAAATGCAAAAAATAGACAAAATAGAACATTGAAATATAATTTCCACGTGAAGATAGGTCTACAGAACAAATTAAGAAACTTAAAAAACAGAAACATGGTGAGATTGATTCTATTGGATACATCAGCAAACCATACATGTCGCAATATTTATGATTTGAAGATCAGTCGAATAAAAAGAGAAAAGAGTATTTTAGTATGGTCGCATTTGACTATGATTGCTATTGTATTAAGATATGGAAAAATAAATTAATCAACTGTAGTTGCTCTTATGTATAAAAATAATGTTTAAGAATACTTTTATTCATTGCAATTCTGTGTAACTTCCAAAGGAAAATAATATATCTTTATAAATGTCTGAATAATATCAATAACTTGAAGTATCGTATAAATGAGCACAAACGTCGTCTTGTTGTCAACATTTTTATTTTTCATTTTTCTGGCGTTGTTTGATTTACTATGAGATCTGCTCAAAAAATATTTCCGAACATTTCAACGAAGGTTGATGATTGATTATCTAGTTGATATAGTTTGAAAATCACCAGAAATGTTTTATTATGTTAATGGTGTCATCAACTGTAGTAGAAAATTTTGAGTCGTAGCAAGGGTGTAGCGTTACTTTCTAGGAAATCTGGTAAATTCATGAATCTCGATTAACTCTATCTATTAGTAACTGTTGAAAATTATCATAAATTGTATTTAGTATTGATAATACTACTAGCGTTTTAAAACTTTTAGCTGAATTAGTGTAGATAGACTAAGCTATATTTGATCAATTAAAACTTTCAAACTCCACAACATCTCGCATCGCTCTGTTAATGAGTATAAATGTAAGATCAACAAAAAACTTCATCCTGATGACGACAGAACTATTTATAGAACAAAAATGAAACAAAATTTTTCAATATACAATCACAATTTATCTTTTTGATTACATCACTCTACATCAAAAAGTTAAAAACGTAGTGCAACTTTTAGATTACGAACTTATTGAAACCTTCGTTACTCAGGTTGAACAATCCGACCGGGAAACTGCAGGTTACGGTCTATTCCGAAGAAAACATGAAAGTCGTATTCAGGGCTAGAATACTGCTTCCATGATCCGCTGATATCCAGCACTTTCCTAGAGGGTCCGGTACATTTCCTGCATATTTACAGCCGGTTTCTATGAAATTCACTCATTTTGGGAGGCCGTAAACGTTGCTCTTGGATATTTCCAATATTGATCTTGTTTATTCCAATAATTACGCGTTTCTAATAGCAACATCAATCCTAATGATGCAGCGATGTGGAAATAAACAATTTAGAGAGAGATAAGGAGCATGAGATAATTTAATTACCTGAAGAAAAGAGAAAGAAGCATACGAAATAGACAAATATGGTCGAAGGAAAAGAGGAGAAGGAAATATAAAATTTAAAGTTAGCAGAAAAGTGGAATTTTAAGTAGTTACAGATTCAAATTGGCTGGAAATCGACTTCCCTGTCGAATCTTGTCGGATATTGATGGAAACTTGAATGCTAAAACATCCATCGGTTCCGACAACCGGATATCATAGGAATTTTATTGGAATCCTACGTTCGGATCCAACATGGATTTCGTCGGATGATAGGATCCTATCGGATTCAGTATCGGATTGATCCACCTGGGAATAAAAGAAAATGACGGACATAAAATTAAAATAAACATTCGGATTAGTAGAATGATTCAATATAAACTATTATATTTTGTTTCTGTTGTTAATTTAAAGATATAAATTACATATTCTGTTTCAATTTAATGGTTCAAGATTGAAATAAAATTTAATAAAAGAAATGCTTACGTGAAGTAAATAAAACATAATCCACTAAAAAAAGAAGAGTATGTCATCACAGAATTCTATACTAAATTCATCGTAAAATGAATATCCTTAACACTCAATACTTTCTCATATTACATAACTCAATAATTGTTTTAATGTCTTTTGTTGAACATGTGTAGCTACATATCTTACGCTTACTACAGTAGTTTTAGCATATTCGATGATTGATCAGTGAGAATGAAAATTGCTTAATGTTTTCCTTAACAAGAACAAATATTATTTATATATTTAATAAGTTTACAAGCTACATAATCATTTTCTTAGATATAAAAAGACTCAGTTAGTTTTCAATCATACAGAAATTGATTTTTTGTTCAGTCAGAATATTTTTCTTTCGTGGTTAAATGCAGCTTGCTAAAGGCAATATTTGAACAGTAGTAGTCTTGCCGATCTTCTTTAATGAATAAAAAATAGAAAAGTGAAAATTCAGAATTCTCTGCAATCCTTCATCATTTTGAAAATGATATGGTAGTGATCAATGATGATGCGAATAGTGATTCGGTAATTTGTTTTTATATGATTGTATTTATGTCGATTTTTGTGTACTCAAAAAAAAAATGAGTACACTCTAGATTTGGTCAGTGTGTCCGTCAGGCCGTTAACACGATAACTTTTGAAAGCCTCATCCAATTGTCATGAAATTTTGTACACAGAATGATCTCATCAATATCTCAATCGAGTTCGAGAACGAGAACGAGAACGAGAAGGATCCGTCAAGAAATGGCTGAGTTATCGAAAAAATATCCTTATTTTCCATGTGAATAGTGACCTATTCTATTTTATTATAATTTTTTTCTCAAACGAAAAGATTTATCATAATCAAAATAATTCTTCAACTGTCATATACCATTATATAGGGAATTTTATGGGCTGCAAGATGATACTAAATTATTAGGGTACACAGTCTGCTCACAAGATTTCCTCTGTATCGCAGTGTCGAAAAGCTACGGAAAAGTCATATATGTTGATAATGTGTCGGTGTGATATTTTTTTGTTTTTCATACGAGCAATGCCAATTTTTAATTTACAAAGTCCTTCGAAACAGTCTCTACTATTAATCATTGCATTGACTGCCAACAATTTCATCGAATGCGTTAGTTTTTCAGACCCGATATTTATTATCGAAAGAGAACTATATAAACAACTGCCATCTCCAGTTGTGCGAGTTCTAGCATAAACTGAATCAAATGCTTGAACAGAATATTCCGTTTTTGGTTTTAATCGCATAGATTGGTCTTTATTGTGCACAGTTATAAATGGTGATTTTTCAATTAAATCATTGATTATTCGAGCTTGATGAGAAATCTGATCAGTGTCTGTTGTCTTATTAGAACCAAGTACAAGAACAAAGTGATCAAGAATCCTTCTCGTATTTAACCCTTTCATTCCCGTCGTTTTCTTTCGTTCTGTACGATCACGAAAAATGTTAGTTTAGTCTCTCTCTCTTGCGTTCAGCTATCACAATCATATGTATACGAAGTCTAGATTCATTATTTATAGCCACACGAGGTGACTTCCCTTTGAACAGATCATATGATATTCGTCCTCTAAGAAGACGACAGAACGAAAAAAATTCTCTTTCGTTCTGCATGGCATCTACGGATGCCATACGGGATTGAAAGGGTTAAATCAACAATTTCGTAAGTTTCGATAGGAGATTTCTCGTGAAATATCGTTGAAGCACGTAGGCCACCAGTTTTAAGTTCTTTCAAGTTAAAAGATATATCGGTATGGATTTGATCATTTTCTTCATCAGTCATTTCAAAATTTTCAAAAGAAGATTGTTCATCAATTTCCGTTATCTCTGGTTGATCATCGATGCGAAAATCCTTAATATTAAAAGATATATCTGTATGAGTTTGTTCGAAAGAAGATTGGTCGTCGATGTCCATCACATCAGAGCAATCATCAATGCTAAGCTCTCCAAGATTCAAAGGCATGTCTGTACGAATCTGTTCGTTTTCATCGACATGAAGTTGTGCGTCAATTTCATGTTTTCTTATCCATAATGGCTTATGAAAACTTGTTAGACTTTCAAAATAATCACATTTCCAACAATTCACATTAGCGAAGCAATAGTCAATCTGTGTTTTAGCATTAGTTGAATTTTTATTTAATTTATTAATCAAAGTTAGTCCGAATGATTTCATATATTCGATAAATTTGTAATTGGTTTTAATCTTCAAATTTATGTTGAAATCACCAACAACAATTATATTTTCACAAATCGTTTTGAAGCAGTTATAACTTCATTAATATGTCGTTTTAAGACATCGAATGGCGAATTTGGTGAATTTTAAACAGAAATGATACAAATATCATCAATTTTTATTGAGGAGTATTCAATATGGTTTTTGCCTGAATACTCACATCTTTCGGCAATGCTTTCATACTTCAAATGATTTTTTAAATAAGCGAGTTGACCAAATGGTTTTCGTATGTCATCACAATCACGTCTGTTGACTACTTTAAAACCTTCAATTTCCAAAGAGTTACCGGGTTTTGTCCATGTTTCAACAAGACTTATCATGGAAGCAGACAAAAATGTTTTATCAGATTTGACATCTAAGATATGTTTATTTAATGATTGCACAATATGGAACACCACAGAAAATCTTTCTCCTTAAGATTCTTCAGGAAACTCAAGGGAAAATTTCATTTTTCCTTCGGATCTCATAGTTTTAAACATCGTCGCCAGTGCATCATTACGTTCAGGTGGTTTCGGTGGAACTAAGTCACCAATTAAATATAAACCACTTGCTTTTGTTGCACGACTACAAGCAACGTATAATTCAGATCTTGTCATGCCATTCTTCAGGTTGACAACAATTTTTTCATAAGTACCTCCTTGACTTTTGTATATAGTCATTGCTTCACAAGGGACAACAGGAAACTGTTTACGTTCTACTTTAAAATTTGTTGATCTCGTATTGATTTGTCGTATTACTGGCTCGATTGTTGTAAGACTAGAATCAATATTTCTATTAAGCATTACATTGTGAAAATTGCCTCTAGCTATTCTTCCAGTTTTTCTTCATTGAATTTAATCCATAATCTACATGGTACTGTCTCATTAGTTTTTTTAAGCTTCCCATAATCAATCACTATTAACTTTCCACAAGCACCATTCACTAATCCATCTTCAGTATCAAAATTGACTGTCATCATATACTTAGCGCCCACTTTCAAATCGATTTTAAGCGGTAAGCCATAAGTTTCAGTTGTTTTGAGGTTCTTTACGTTGCTTAAAACTTTTTCTTTTATTGATGCAAGTCCATCGTCAACACAAAAGTCATAAGCATTTGCAGTTGCACCTTCGGTGTTAAGGTTAGCCAATGCTTTTGCATTGTATGCATCAACTTCAGCATTACTTCGAAACACTCTTATTGCATTTTCAGTTCCTTCTAGTTTGTCGACCGAAACGATTCTTGATTTTAATAGATTTATGTCTTCAGATGTCATCATTCCTTTTGCTAGGTTACTAAGTGCCATGGCAAAAGGCTTATCATCTTTTTGTCTCATGATTTCTGTCAATTCGAACAATCGAAGCAGTGACCACAGTGGATTATCTACCAATGCATTATAAGAATTGTTATACTGGAATATGTATTTATCACCAACTGGTCTTAATTGATTGAAATCTCCCAGAACTATGAGCGATATTCCACCAAATGGTTTTTTAACTTTCATTATTTGCTGTAAACGTGAATCGACTTGCTGAAACATCGTAAAATCAACCATTGAAATTTCATCTATTATTAATAATTGCAACCCAGGTGAATGAATCCTACGACGAATCCTATCGGATCTGATGGGATCCTATCACCCAACAGAATCCGATGGGATTCCGGGTTACGGATTGACTGTCGGCTCCGACGGAAAAAAACATTTTCTTAATGAGGGGTGAATATGTATAGTTTCTCATAAGAACACTAGGGTTATACGCTCATGTCAGATTCCGTTAATTTCCAACACTGGATCCTACATCAAGGATCCGACTGTAGGTCCTGATCCCAGAATCCTATAGGATTTCGTTGGTTTTATTGGAATCCTTAGATATTTGGTATATTCACGGTCTGACCCTTGTCGGAATCCGATAGGATCCTAGTGTCGGAATGACTCTCCTGGGAAGTGTTTCGATTTCACTCCTATTCTATTTGATACGTCGCTATTTAGTTTAACCAATTTATGTTTACATTGATTAACTGGTAAACTTAAAAATGAATTTAAAGTCATTCCGCCAATCAATGCTGCTGCTTTGCCAGTTGGTGCGCAGAGTGCAACATGAATAGTTTCTGGATTAGATCCTGGAAGTGAATTATAAAATCTCAATATTGATTGATATACTGCTTTGATCAAAGTACTTTTACCAACACCGGCACCTCCATTGATGAAATGAAAAAATTGTTCATCACCATTTTTAATCAAATTCATCACATTTAAAGTATATTTTATTTGGCTATCATTGAGATTTCTCATAATTTCCTGATATTCAATGTTTGGTATTATTTTCGGAACATTAAAATGTTCAACTTTTTTGGTATGAGTATTTATTCCCCTCTCCAGAAAAATATCACCTTCATTATTTCCTGTTTTATAAATAAAAAACTCATTTTTATCTTGATCATATTCATTATTTGTGTCATCGATATCACTGTCGTCTTCTGTTTCCTTATTCTCTTCAACAGCCTTTTCGAATTTATTAGCTTCATGATGAACATATTCAGATCTTTTTTTTCGAATCGAATCTTTATATGATTCAAATACTTCTTCATGGTTTATATCAATTAGATCCTTTTGTTCATTATTCCATGGATGAAATAACATCAACTGCTCTCTGTAATAATTTTCAGGATCTTGATGTAATTGGAAATTTCGAAATCGTATTATTTTCTGTTTTGTTCTTCTTTTTATCCACCCTTTACTATTTTTCATCTTCAGAGGATTAAATTCATCGAATTCATTATCAATAACCTCTTCATCATCAGAATTTTCCGCAATACCATCATTGTATGCTATTCTTTTTGTTACATTATACAATGAAGCAAAATCAACGAAACAGACATTTTTCATGTCGTCAGGTCTGTTAACATACATATCAATCAAGCCTTGAACAAAAATATCTTTTGAATCAGGGTCCAATTTCTGAAGAATTTCATCTGATTTGACCATAGAGATTCTATTTTCAGGTCTATTTGTATTGATGAATATAGTACTTCTGCTATTGATTGATAATGGAATACTTAAGATATGATAAACAGCCTCTTGTGCTGAAATTTCACTGGAATTTAAAAATTTATTTGCAAGAACTCTAAGACGTTCTTTGACTGTATGGTTGCCTTTTTGTAGCTCATTAAAGGCTTCTCTTAGAAGTTTAGACATTCCATTTTCGGATTTACTAATGTAGTTGACACAATACGTCAAGCATGCATACGGAACAAGAATGAATTGAATGTCCATGTTTGCTCTGTGCAATGACATTATCATTGGATTATAGGCATTGATTCTGATTTCATTTGGAGCACGTTTCAAAAATACCTTCGCTTTTTCTAATTCACTTCGAATCATTTTAATATACTCTTCTTCATTCATATTAACATGTTCCAAGAATTCTTCGAAAGTTAATGAATTATCTTTATCTTTTGATATATTTTCAAGTTCTTTAATTACGTTCTGTTTATTTTTACTTATCTCTTCACGTTCTTTTTTAGTAAACTTTTCATCATCAGTAAATGGTTCTAAAATCATCGTTTTTCTAATCGGAAAATATGGAATACCAAAACGACATTTAATCCGATTTTTTACATGTTTTTTACAAGTATGTGAATGCTTATGGCGCTGCAAATTTATGAGTTCGTCAGAAAATTCAGTTAGTTTAGCATTAACTGAAATCAGTTTATCAATAAACTCTATACATTGTTCAATGGACTTAGGATTATTCTTGTCATATTTTGGAGCATTTTTTAGCCATATAAGAACATGAATATGTTGTGAGCCACGAACTTGGAATTCAACTCTGATGTATTTATCTTCTAATCCATTGCCTTCAAATGAACCACAAGAAGCTAATAATATTTCCCATAAACATTTTAATCTCTGTTCAAAATAACGAACACATGTCACAGGATCTTTTCCTATTAAATCACATTTTTTTCGTAGCTCAAGTTTTCTGCTTCTTCCAATGTTATTACTTTATTTTCTAACACTTAATTTAATATTACAATAAGTTTTGACCATTTTGTTTCTGCCGCTGACAATGTCAGAAATATTGTTGGACATCCTAACTGTCTGAACATTGCTAGAAGTTCCTTCTTTTTCATTTCCAAAAATGCTGGCGAAGATCGATCACATCTTAAGAATGTGAAAGCATCATCATTATGAATTAATCCATTGACGTAATCTCGATTAAGCATTTGTGTGACAGTTATGTTTTTCTCAAATTTATTGAAATATCATTGCATCACTTTCTTGTTTGTAATTTTTTATATGTGAAAAACAGTTTTGATAATCTACCACATCTTCTATCAAACATTCGCAATTCTGATTTGGCAATCTTACCGTAAGTCAATTTGACGTTGGATTTGATTTTTCTTTGTTCGCCACAATAAATTTTCGGAAATGTTAATTCATCGACTTTTAAATCCATTAGAATCGATATCGGTCTATTATTCTCTCCCGGAGCAAATTTAATACCAACATCATTTTGATCATCAACCTCATCGTTTAATAACGTTTCAGTGGCGCTTGGATTGATTGGTTTATCATCGCATTCATTCCGTTCGTCTTCATCCTCAAAATCTTTATTAATGTTTTCATCTTCATCAAATTTCTTGTCATCATCATTGATGATAAAATTCTCTCTCTCGTTAGAGTATTCATTTATCCAATCATGAGATATTACAATGCCTTCATCTTTATATAGCGCTTGTTCAACCAAATATTTCACAGCAGTATGCACAACTTTCGGTCGAATTGTTTCATACATAAAAGCATTTTTATTTTTCATTTGTCTCATGAGTTTCAACTGAATCGTGTGAGTATCACTAAAACTTCTAGGCAATATTGAAACATTTGTATCAACATTCATGGGAACATTTACAAGGTTACCCTTGAGACCAAATTGTTTACAAGAGCCTAAACTTCGAATTACCATAAACGGAATTCTTGGTGATATTAATCTTTCTTCTAATTCAGTCAAGATTTTCAAACAATTTGGTATTTCATAGAATGCTAAACCATTAGATAGACAAAGAGTAGGTACTTTATTCAATATGATGTCCTTTCTGCATGTGGCGCACAAGTTAATGATTGTATTTTTGAGACAACAAACCGTATCAATAAATTCTTTTTTTAACCCTTTGTTTGTTAACATCTCAATTGTAAATTCTCTGATTGAATACTCAAACCATAAACCACCACAAGAGCTGCAAATATGAGTAGGTCCTTCTTTTATTTTTGACTCATAATTTGATTTCATGCCATCAAAATTACTTTTGTATTTATATCTACTATTGTGCATTCTTAGTGCATTTCTCCTTCTCTCTTCTTCTTTGAATTCATCATCCTGTCGTGCAATTTTCAGCGTTTCGGCTCTTCTTTTATTTTCTTCTGTTTTGAATTCATCATCCCGTCGTGCAATTTTCAGAGCTTCGGCTCTTCTTTTATTTTATTTTCTTCTGTTTTGAATTCATCATCTATTCGTTCAATTTTATGAGCTTCTGCTCTTCTTTTATTTTCTTCTGTTTTGAATTCATCATCTATTCGTTCAATTTTATGAGAATTTGCTCGTCTTCTATTGTCTAACAAACGTAATTCATCATCAGTTCTTCTTTCTCTCATTCTTCTTGTTATCTCAGCATTTCTCTGAGATATAGATCTTTTTTTACGCTTTGGCATTTCTTCAGACTAGCTCAACATACTTTTGATATGACTGACTTTTTTCTGGGTCGTAGATAATGAAATAAAACACGATCAAATTAGTCGTTAGAATTTTAAATGAAAGTAGCGTCTGACTCAGATTACGCACGTGTATATACCGAGTACGTCTTCTACTTAGTGAGATACGCGTTTATCTCTAAACTTAGTGAGATAAAGAACTGCAAAAGTTTCTTTCGAGATAAATCTTCGTTAAGACTTGGTGAAGAATATATACTCGATACGAAGCAAGAAACTTTAGAGAATCAACAACTTGATAATCTTTTTTGAATAATAAAAATTCAATTATTATTTCTTTTATTTGAACAAAAAATTCGATTTTTATTTCCTTTATTTGATTGAAAATAACTAAAATCTAAAAATGAAAAAAAAAACTAATGATGATGATTATAATAACGGAAAGAATTTCATTTATAAATGAAAATAAATGCTAAATAAAATTTTGATTTAGTTTGTATAGATTGTCTTTTATTGAGTTCAAGATATGAATCAAGAACAAAGGAATGATTGAAACAAGTATATATGTTTGAGATAAAACGTTTTTTTATCCGATAAAAGAAAGAAAATATTTATAAACAGGTTTTTTCATAAGTTTACAATTTGTTTTAGATGTCGTTTATCGATCTGATGAGGAAAAAAAACGTTATATTGATGTTGTTATTAGTAAATGACAAACAAGACGAGCTTTATTTTTTATTTTTCTTTAAAGTTTCTATAAATAATTCGGCACTAAAATGAAAAATGCAGTTTAATTTAAGCCAAATAAGAATTAACTAAATCGTACATTGTTGATTTGAAAACATCTTTCAACATTTCCATTTGTTCCTCATTATTTTCCTTTTTTTTTAGGAATTTTTGGCAATTGAGAAATACTCTTGATATTTCTCTCTGTTATTTGGATATTAACAGCTTCAAGACCTTTAATTGCTACAAAACAGAGAAGTATGATTTACTTTGTGATGAAAGTCAGATAAATTACTTTTTATTACATCGAATTTACATTTATCCGATACGAAAAACTTTCTTTGAGAAGATTGGTTAATAATCGATGCTTCTCGAGCAAATATGTCTTTGTACTGATTTTTATCATTACTGCAAAATATATCAGATAGAAGGTGAGAAAATGAGAATAGATGATAATTACCGTTTAAGAAAAGCATAATGCTTGAATCGATTCACTGTAATGATTGTTCCATGAACTCCTGTTTCTGAGAAAAGAATATTATATTTTAGTTTTTTAATTTTCAAGATGTATTACCAACAAGAACAGGCTCATTGTTTACAGGAATAAGTACTTTATTCTTGCTTCGAATGATTGTTGGGTCATTATTATCAACCATAACTCGTCGATCATCACCAACCATAACTCGTCGTTCATCACCAACCATAACTCGTCGTTCATCACCAACCATAACTCGTCGTTCATCACCAACCATGATTGGTTCATCATCATCAGTAATCACTGAGTCCTTGACAAATGAATCTCCACCTGTATGTGCCATTTGTTTATTCGATTTGTTTTTGTTATTCAATCTGAAATATTTCTAGAGATGATCATTTTAAAGTTGATATAGAAGTTTTATTCCGTTTTCAAAAAAACAAAAGGCTAATAAAAAAAAGCTTTTTTACGAAAATAAAGAAACTGCTTTAAAAACCATTGAAAATGATAAACAATCCAAACGATTATTTGAACAAGAAAAAAGTCTATTCATTTTCTTTTATTCCACATAAAAATATTTTAAAATATTTCGATTATTCAATTAATAATCAATTGTGTTATCTTTTATTTGAATATTAGTGTTATTTATAATTTTGCTATGTCAATTCAAATTTAACAATATTAATATATAGTTTAAATCACTAACAACAAGCATTTCTTTCTCTTTTTTTTGAATAAAAGTCTTCATTTAAAATAAAATAAATTGGATCTCCTTGTTATATGTCTGCAGAACTTTTAGCTGAAACTATTGAATGTGCGGAAATATCTTTCTTGAATGTGATTTTTATGCACTTTGAATTGTCCTTTAGAACGTTTTATTAAGACTTCATTTTCAAAGTAAAAGTAAATCTTTTAAAATAAAAATTAAAGATAAAATTATAAATATTGATGTAAATAATTGTATATATCCATTTGAAAAACCATTAAAAGAATTAAATTTCAATCTCAATAATCCAACAGTAAATAAAATGAATATAATTAATCATTTTAAAAAAACAAGAAACTATCCATTAATTACACTGGAGCTGTAATGACTGGCTTCCTAATCAGCGTAAACTCCTTTATTTTAAGTCATTCATTCTTTAGCAGCAGTCTTTATGAGTTGTATCTTCAGTAGTGTATTCGTTTCTCGTTCTAGTTTTGCTGTGCATGATATAAAATATTTAGAACAAAAATAGGGGCGGAAAAAAATGGATGCACATTTTCGCTTTTTGAAGTACACATAACAATCGGATGCAAATCCGATGTTTCCGCATTTTTTTATTCTATATTCATAAACATTCACAATCGATGACAAAAATATAGCCAGCCTCATTTAATTCAAAATTACTTTTTTTCATGAAAAGCTGTATTAAGACCTTAAAAAAACTAGATAAACATATATCATGCATGTTCACCTTCTAAATGCACGTACTACTCTTTTTATAAAGATTATTTGAAAACTATCATGGTGTTGCTACTTATCTATTAAAAACAAATCAACAATCAATTCGTAGTATAAACGAAAATAAGATCAATTGTAAACTAACCAATCACTTCATGTCCCCATGTCCCAAGCATTCGAAAAAATCGAATAACTAAACACATAGACTAAAACGAAAATAAGATCAATTTTTAAATAACCATCATGTCCACATGTCCCAAGCATTTGAAAAACTTCGAACAGCTAAATAAAATAAAACGAAAACAATTGAAAATGGACCACTCGCTTCATGTCCCACTATCCCGAATACTCGGAAAAATTCATAACTAAGAACAGAAAAAAAACGAAAATGCGAGAGTGATTGAAAACTAACCAACTATTGGATATCCCAACGTTCCTAGCAGTCGAAAAAAATGAAATATCAATACATATATGGAACAAAAATAAAAGCTATCGGAAGCTAGTCAATCATACAAAAAAACCGAAACGCACTATTCTAAAAATTAATATAATAAAACAAATAACAAAATTGGACACGCCACTCATAGAAAAAAATCAAAAAATCTATGCAGATAATAATTTTCTCAAATTAAAGAAGAACCCGATTAAAATGCAAGTTTGACTACTTACTCACAATTTTATAGCTCCCACCCCTTGCCTCCCCGAGTCGATGAACGTTCGGGACATCCCTGAACGCAACAGATGTATAATAAAAAATTATATTCACAACAAATATTTAATCAAGCAGTGGTTACTTGTGTCACTCAACTACTCAAAAATATTATATGTTCATCTGAGTAATAAACAATAATAACCCATAAATAGCGAAATTTGTAAACAAACAAACAAAGCGAACGCATTCCAATCTCAACTGAATTCCAATCTGACCTGCAACATATACTTTACTTAGCACCAATTCAATATTATTTGCTCGAAAAAGAGAAACATAATTCTTATACTGTTTTTCTCTTCAATATCTGAATAAACAATGCAAACTCAAGTTTCAATAATTGAAAAAAAAATTATATTGCCGTAATCAATAGAAAATTTAATTGGAAGTGGATGTTCTTCAATAAAATCTGTAACCTGAACGACGAATTTTTAATTTATAAAAAAATGTTTATGTCTCTCTGTACATTAAGTTAGAAAATAAATTGTAGAGAAAGCAGAAGGATTTTTAAGGAATGCCTATATGAATTCTAGAGGGAATTTTTTAAATCTTGAAAATGCGACATTCTAAATATAGGAAGTAACAAATTCGATTTTCTAGTTAGAAAATAGAAAGTGAATTCATATAGGCATTCCTTGAAAATCAGTAGCGATGTAGCGATTGGATCATTTTCTAATGAATTTGAAAATCAAATTTTCTTTTCTTTTCACCATATCTTTCAATTTCTTGAAGCAAGACTAATTATAAAAATTTCAAAACAACTCATTCTTCATTTGAAAGATCAGATAATTTGAGAAAAATAAAATCATTTTGAAAAATGACTTGTACTATTCACTTCAAAGATTGCATGATCGAAAAAAATTAAAATATAATAGCTATTTTAAATAAGAGTTTATTATTCAGGCAAACGATTGGATGATCTAAAAGAGATAAAAGAAAATAATTATTTAAAATTAGAAGATATTGTTCATTATACGATCAGATGATTTCAATGAATGAAAATAATACATTGAAATAAAAACCTTTGTTTCATTAAATTCGTAAATGAAACAGCTTTGTAAATGAACATACTATGAAAATATTTCACTAACTAGCCACATGTAACATGCCAAACTTAGTGGTGATTTCTATTGAATAATTTTTCAAAATGGCAATCGAAAACACGATATGTCGAATATATAATGCGATGGTTTTTGAAAATCGAAATGGATTTTCTAATGAAATTCGAAATCACTGTTTATTTTCTAGTTTTTAGAAAATAAATCTTATTGAAAATCAAATCGAATTTCTATAAGTTGGAATCTTAAGCATTTTCGAATGAATATAAATTCATTACACATATCATTACACATATCATGACACTTAAAAAATGCTTCAGCTTATTTAAGATCGATTTTTCAAAAATTAGAATTTAAAAAAAATTACAGTGTACTTTAAAATAATTTTGTTTTTGAAAATGTCGAAGAATTAATCTTATTTTCAGTGAAATTTTATCCAACTTTACTTCTAAAAAATATTTCTTCATGAGAAAAATGTTAAGAAAGTTCATATTATTTTTCTTATTTTTTCCGTCATTCATTTTGATAAAGATTTTCATTTATTCAAGAATGAAATATAACTCAATGAAACGAAACACAAAAGACTAAAAAGGTTATCCTAAGTTCGTAACTTATTCTAAAAGTTATTTCTTTTGACACTATTGTTGACTTGATACCAAAAGGAGTGTAATATTCGTTGCATTAATACCGGGAAGTAATTAGATCGTATCCATTAATATGAACCATCAGAAGACATTCAATAATGTTCGAAGGTGTCAAAAGCACTGTAACATTTTTCTTTTATCCATCACCTTCATTGATGGATTGATCATTGTCACGGAAACAATTATCTCTGACGTTTCATAATTAATATAAATCACTCTCTCGTATTTAGTAATTTCTTTCTCCCTAGCAAATTCCTTTTCGTCCAAAAAAACGTTTAAATTCGTACCACATTCAATCGAAAAAAGTACTTTCTTTTTTTCTATCTCTCCAAATTCACTCTCCCGATGTTCCTATAAAATGTGAATTCTCACCAGCAAACTCACATCATTTCGTCCAAATTAAATACTATAATCATACTTTACTTTTTCTTCATTAAGAATCTTCATGGAACAATGCTCATCTATCCAACGAATACCTGGTATGTTCATTGAAATTTCTTTTCATGAAATAGTATATAGAATATCATACCATATCAGTACAAAATTTACAAAACAACCCTAGTCGAACATCTTGTAAACAAGATCTTATCAAGATCTGGGAAAGATATTTGTATATACATATCTTGGTTGTATCAGATAAATCTGTACTTAAGATCTTGGCAAGATCATGGAAAAAATATCATGTACTATTATCTTGTGATAAGATCTTGAGTGAAACAGAAAACGACATCATTAGTGTATTTATATGCTCTCTAGTCATTCACCGTTTTTTTAATGCATACACAGCTGTATATAAACAACATGACTGAACATACGAAACACAAATTTTCAAAATTATTTTATTTCTCAACTATTTCTCGATTATTTGAAAGAATTGGTGATCTCGATCGATGATCGAGAGAGGACTACCCTAATTGGTCCGACGGATTTCGGGCCAACTTATAGCCAGTCAGATCCCAACATCTGATTTGCTGGAGTTTGAGAGAGGAATAATTAAAATGAAAATAAATTGAAAAAATATTAAAGAATGCAACAGGTTTTATTTTAGTGTACATTCAAGATATAATGGATTTTTATTCAAGATCTGTAATTAGATCTTGGCTGCAAGATAACCGTATTATCTTGTACCTAAATTTCCAAGATCTGTTAACATGTCTGTACCTTGTATCTTGACCAAGATCTTGCTTACAAGATGTTTGTCTAGGGAATGCATCGAATAAAGTAAGAAATAAATTCTAATTTTTTTCTTCTTCGATCAATCGATTCATTTTGAAAATTGCAATTCATACATAATTTTTTTTTCTTATTAAATTATTACATGAATATTTCATACTTATATTCAATACCAGAAAAAAGATCATTGTGGAAACTTTTCTTGCATTAAACATTATTATGTTTCATTATCAAAACACTTTTCATAATTTATATCAGATGAAAAATTTAAAAAAATAATATGTATTCCGACACGAACCAACAATGAGTACCATATCATATATTTATTGTTCTCTCTTAGTGAATCACCCTATACCAAGCAATCCAAGTGAACATGCTACGTATGCTGAAAGATGGCTTCTTCATAAGGATGATAGCACTGTAGTCAAAACTTTTATCAAAAAAACAATTCATACTTCTCAAATTCTACATTAGGACTCCATAAACTCTCGAAAAGCATTTCTTTTTCTAATTAAAAAAACCAAATAAAATCGAAACATTAATATTTTATAGTAATTTCTTACACTCGTATAGAGTATAGAAATTTTCAATAATTTGGAAATTTATTACAGTATTTTTTGTTATTTCTGAAATTAATGGAATGAATACTATGTGACTTGATAATGATTGTTATTTCTTAATAAAATCGAAATAAATACAAAATTATTTCAAATTTTATTGTTGTTATTCAATACACCCCTCACCTTCCATTCAACTTCATATATTTACTATGATAAATTTACTTACACTCTCATCCCTTTTGTTTCCCTCGTTATTTTATTTAATCTCAATGAAATAGTGATCTAGCATCAGAAGTTGATTGAAAATATTCTCAATTAAGGATCAGATGCTTTTCGCTCGATTAGTGTCTTGATATTATAGCAATTTTTGTACATATTACTAGTATTCAATTCTTAAAGTATTGATGGATAATGAAACTTTTATTTAATGCTGGTACCTATAGAATGATGGATGGATATAGACATTGTGAAGTCCATGAAAGAAGATAGATGTCCGATTAGAGTGCAGTTTTTCTTTAGTACATAAATAAACATAAATTGACTTTAACTTCTCTCTGGTAAGTCTTTAAAAGTTTGTTATGCAATAATTCAAAAGGCATAACTATATTTTCACGCTTATTTTTCTGTGATGTCGTATTCTTCATTTTTCTTAGTTTATATTGAAGCGAAGAGCGAAGTTTTTCTTCGAAAATTCTATTTAATATCTTATTAATAAGTATAAGGCAAGCAAGCTTCATGAGAGTAATTGAAAGTTTCCAAACCCACCAATTGTTTGTAGCACGTATTATAATTGAGTAAAATTCTTGTTGGACTACGTCAAAATCACAAGAATACCTTATGTTAGCCTTTCTGGTGTGATAAAAGATGTAAATCAAGCTGTTACATCTATAGATGAATTAAAAAATTAAGTTGGTGACCGAACGATTCGGCGCCGAGCAATTCAATGCATGTTTCTGAATTAGTCGTTTTTAACTGTGTTATTACTTATCGAAGTTTGAATAAGATAAAGAAGTATTTAAAAAGTTGTTCTTTCAGTCATAAATACAATTGAAAAAAAGGATTAATGTGTAAAAAAATCAAATGAATATCACAATAGAAATGTAGACAGGGTTGGATTTTTTAATCATTGAAAATTTTAATTAGATCAAAATCAAGAGTAACAGTAATTTAACGTTCTTGAGTCGAGTTGAGAGTATAAAAGGATGAAGTTTTCTAAGAATACATTACCTCACTCTCGCATAACTACTCAAATACTCATTAAAAATGTCACAAATTCAACAAATCCAATCCGAAAATGGGAAACTAATGATCGCTCATGAAGGCTACATTTATACCGTAGAAAAAACAACAACATTGAAAACCTTTTTTCTGTGTAAAAGTCGAGATTGTAAAGGTACCTTAATTTCATGAATTAGACAATTAAGCAAAGGAGTTTTTTTCATTAAGCATGCTGTCACACAAATTTATCAATAGATACATTTCTCTCCGATCCAACTTCCCGCTGCCATGCTCCAAATCCCGATCTCATCGCTTCTATACAACTGAAGAACAACATCAAAGTTCGAGCTGCGACAATGGAAGAGCCATCAAGCTCAATTCTTCATTCTGCTCTACGAAATTATCCAATATTGGCTGCTAGTGCACTTCCCAAAACAGAAACTCTTATGGTAACTATTCGACGACAACGTATCAACGACAAGATCGATACTGATGGCCGACTTCCAGACCACCTGAGAAAGACTGATCGTGGTGAACATTTCATATTACTTGAAGACGAAGAATTAATTATATTCGCATCGAAAACAAATCTATCTCTTTTGGAAGAAAACAAACATTGGTTCACTGATGGAATATTTAAAGTAAGCTATCAATTAGTCTTTCTCTCTTCTTTCTCTATTTCTCTCTCTTTTAGATGTGTCCGGATGATTTCTATCAACTTTTCACACTTCACGCAACGATGACGGACACAATTATCCCTCTCGTGTATGGACTTTTAATTGGCAAAAGTACAAACGGTTATCATTTATTTTTTGAAAAAATCTTCGAACAAGATGATTTCCAACCAGAATCAATCATGACAGCCTTTGAAACTGGCACGATCAAGTCAGCGAAAGAGAAGCTACCTAATGCTGTATATAAAGGTAATATTATTTTTCCCAAGAAAAATTTAAAAAAATTCTGTTATAGGGTGTCTCTTTCAATTTTCTCAAGCTATCTGGCGACAAGTTCGAAACAGAGGACGAGCATTTTCGTTTAAGAGTAAAAAAATTTATTGCTCTCGCGTTTATTCCACTTAGCGACGTCGTAATGGCTTTCGATCTGGTTGCTGAGCAGTTCGACGACGACGCTGACGATTTTCTCGATTATTTTGAAAAAACATGGATTGTTGAACCAATAAGAAGAGGTCATTTTTTTCCTGTCATTATCATCGAATTTTATTTTTTTCTCATTTTTAGGAACCGGCCGAAAGAAACATCTATTCGATCACAAATTATGGAACATCCATGATTGCATTCGCTGGTATTCCTCGATCCAACAATTCAGTTGAATGATGGCATAATGCATTTGCTAGTCGTGTATCAATCAATCATCCGAATATAAGTAAATTGGCTGAGAAGATTCGCCGTGAGCAATCAAAATTTGAAATTGACATCGCAAAAATTTTTCAGAGACACCGAATTAAAACGAAGAAAAAATGTTATAGAGAACTGGATGAATGAATTACACGGTTGGTGAATGCTTATAACTCAAGTCAACTGGATCAACATCTTAAAAAACTCGCCTGTAATATAAATTTGTATTTTTTTTTGTAAATGATACTTCCTTTGCTGCAAATATAATTAAACTGTTGATACAAATTTCTATCTTTTAATTACTCGCACTTGTTTACGAGGATATATGAAATATGCGACAAAATATTCGTCGACGAATTGTCCTAGTACCATTAATTCTAGACACATTAACATCATACTTTGTTTTTATCTATTCGGAATCGATAAAAATCGGATGGCTATTTATTATTATTATAATCAATTAGGCTTGATGGATATGGTGTTCAGGCGTGGCAATCGATACCGATTTTATGCCTTCGGAAGATTTCTTTGAAAACTCAATAATTTCCGAGAACCTTTGTAGATGATATAGGAGGTAATGGAGCTTCTAGAAAAGGATCGCACAGGTTTAATGAATTTCTGAGGTAAAAATGTTCCTTGCTGACTAGCAGAGTCAGGTGGCATCCGGATTTCACTTGTGCGCGAAATTCAATACGAAGCATACGAGTCCCTTTATTTGAAAGAGATCGATAATATGATTAGAGATCTTCAATAGAACATAAAATCTGTCAAAAATCGCACTTTCTACTAGTTTCTGTTGGGTATCAATCAAATTATAACTTTGTCTAAAGCAAAACCAATCAAATTCTTTCTTAAGAGAGCTAGCTTTACATAAATACTCCACAATCTATTATTTATCAGATAGTCATTTCGGTTTACTAGCTATTGTATGTTTAGTTTGACATGTCAAAACAAATATCACATGTTAATAAATATATTTTTATATTCCTAAACACTTACAACTATGATAGTTTCCGAAGTTATCATTTTTCAAATTCCCTAGACTGAAAGGCTAGGGTCTAGAAACCGTAATTCACCTGTGTCTGTCTGTCTGTCTGTAACAATGACACAATTGACCGTTCGTGCGGCACAAATGACCATTTCTGTGGCACAAATAAGCATTTTTATGGGGAAAATAACCATTTATATGGCACAAACAGCCATTTCTATGGCAGAAATGACCATTTTTATGGTACAAACGACCATTTATGTGGCACAATTGACCATTTATGTGGCACAAATGACCATTTCCATGGCACAAACGACCATTTATGTGGCACAAATGACCATTTTTATGGCACAAACGATCATTACTATGGCACGAAAGACCATTCGCATGGCACAAACAACCGATTTTCTGTCCTGTCCATGCATTTCTTCTGCTCAGCACTGTCAGTCTAGGGCCCAGTGAATCGACTTTCGATGTCGATGATTGTTACTTGTACATTTGCGTGTGAATACAAGTTGTTCAAAAAAATTTTTGCAAGTATTTTATTAATTGTTTTTGAATCCTTTCATGTCGAGTTTCAAAAGCCAATCTCACACATTTTTGCTTCAAAAGATCACACCATCAAAGAGAACATGAGTAAAACAAAAATGAAAAAGAATAAAGAAAAACTGTATCTGTTCGATTTTCAATTAATATTTTCAATCAACCATAAGATTTTTACCATAAAAGGTGTAAGGAAGTTCAATGTTAAGAAATTTCCGATGTAGTTTGTGAGCTTTATTACAGAGCGACTTGCCTTTTTAGATCATGCTATTTTTTATTCGGTATCACATTGTGTATACCGAGAAAGTAATGTAAGAAAGAAAGAAAAGCAATATAAAACCTCACATCAGACTGCTATAGTACGAGTACCTTAGCAACCCTAGGAAAAATCTTTGATGTTTCAGTGCCGGATCCTTGACAGATACGATCAGGATCCTGGAAAGATTCGCTATTTTTTCCTGAGGAAACGACTAAATCCTAAAGAAGTGTGTAGCCACGGAATTTCAGGATCCTAGCAGGATTCAAAACAAGATTTTCAAGGATCCTGGCAAGTTTACCACTGTTTTTTAAACCAAAATTGAGTCAGGAAATCGATGATTCCTGAAAAAAGTGTGTAGCCACGAAACTTTAGGATCCTGTCAGGATTTTAATAATTCGAAATTCGAAAAAAAAAAGATTTCTGATAATATCTTTGAGGATTCGACTATGGTTTCTAGAAGATGTTATCACATATCTTGGCAGGATCTTATTAGGATTGGACTGGGTTTCGTTCAGGATTTTATCAGTTTCTTCGCAGGATTCGTGCAGGACTTTCTAAATAGAATATAAGAGAAATGAACACATAGAGGACTGATCTCTAGGCCTTCAGTTTACATACCGATTAGCTTACCCAGCTATATGCGCCATGTCATCCTATATCATTTCAGCATTCAATATCTTAATTCTGACATTAATATAAACTTCTATCTGTATTTTATGTGAATATAAATTATTTCAAAAAATTCTGGAAATATGATATTATTTCCCATATTTAATTCAGTTTGCCACATTTGACTGTTTTTTTTAACTTAAATTCGATGTTAAAAAATAGTTTGAATTGTGTTTTCGGTTATTATTTAAGCTGCAATCAGTTTTACTAGAAAAGTTTGCTGCTGACTCAAAGTATCTATTCAACGAAAAAACTTTTACAATGAATAATTTAAATTAATACTCTTATTTAATGATTTCAATCTTTTTTCTTCTGCCAAGATAAAGATAAAAAAATCACTGCTGCAGTCCGAAACTCAAAACAACTTACATTTAAACTTCAAAAAGATTTAAAAGTTTTTTCTATGATTTTCAGGGTTCATTCTATTTATTTATGCAGAGTACCGATTAAAGATCTTTCGTTTTCTTATCAACATCCTGATCATTCGTGTATTTTTTAAAAGCATTCTAAATGTCGGCTCCTGAACAGTATCACTCAGAAACCTGATCGAAGTTTGATAGGAGTTCTTAGTTGATTATTTTGAGAAATCTGGTTTTATTCCTGTGATGATCCTTCACTGATATGACTATAAATCTAGGTAGAATCCTTGTATCAGTATTCCAAACAGATCTTCACTCAAACCTGACCAACCCTTGCCGAAATTCCCTTTGTATGATTTTAGTCAGAATCCTGCATAGGATTAACAGTAAATCTTATTAAAATCCTGCAAACTCGATTTCGAGTCATATTCGAACAGGAACTTCTGAATAGAATCCTGAATCAAACATTGCAGGATCATTGGGATTTATGATTCTGAAAGACCCTTCAAGGTTGTCTCAAGAAATGCACACTGATGAGCGGATGAAGCAGTAACCTGTTAAGATCTTTACCAAATCCTTACATGTTCCTATCAAACCTTAGTAGAATTGGGATCATCTTCTGAGGTTAGGAAAAGCATATTCTTGAAAAATTCTGAGCAAGATCCTGGTTAAATTTTTGCAGGAATATTAAATTTCGTATGCAGCCTGACCCTGTTATTTTCTTGTCAAGATCCTCGTCTGATGTGACCGTTACTCCTGGCAGGATCCTGATACGATAATTTGACCGAGATCCTTACGAAAACTTGATCAAACTTTTCTGCAATCCTCTCTCATAATCTTAATAGGATCCTATAAAGGATCTCGAGAAAATCTTGATAGGATCCTAAACTATCGGCTCAGAAAAATATCTTAGCAGAAACTTGAAGAAATCCTGAACAGGATCTTGTTTCACATTGATAAATCCTGGGAAAAGGAATAACCAGGATCCGAAACAGGATCCATAACAAAACTTGACAGGATCCTTGAAATTCAGGATCCTGAAAGATCCTTTCAGGGTCTTCCAAGGAATGAACAGGATTGAGACTAGGGAACATTAAAAAAATATTTTAACACGAGCATGTACGTCAGCTCGCTCCGAATCACGCTTAGGCCAACGCGCATTATCACTGTCGACATACGAATCGAAATAATATAAGTCACGCTTCACTGAGTTTCATTAATTATGCGACTCCTTATATGCTCTAATCAAATAGATATTATACAATTTCAGATACTCTAGTATACAAATTCTAAAGCTTAAGTATTGATGACAGTGAATTATATGGTAAGTATTTGTAATAAAGTAACTAAATCTCGATTAATCATATCGTGAATCTTCGTTATTAAATGATTTACGATTTAAGGTGGAATATTTGTTAATTACTTACTTTGACTTTAGTGAGTAAAACACGGATTAAACACTGTTTAGATACTGTTCATACCATCTATATGTCTTGATTGGCAAGTATATGAATATTTTTTAATATTCATGTAAAATTCGACAATCGACAGTAATTGGTGTTTTTCAGATGAGAGATTACGGAGTCTTGTATTACCAAGTATGAATAGTACTCCAAAATCGATCTGATATTAAAGTTCTTAGCTTTTCTGAAAGCAGTTGCAATATGCAATGATGCTTCGAGTAGCAGTTCACCGATGAAATAAAACAAGATTCACATAGTTATGTAATTGCATCACAGAGATAGCGTTGCATACATATAAATTTTCTCGCCAGAAATCGATAAAATAATACTCTATAGTAGATTCGAAACATAATGGGAATACCGATTGATTGATAACCTCAACGAACACACGGGGTCTCTGATTGTTCAAAATGGACTATAGTCTAAGACGACCAATAATAGATGCGCGCTTTATTTCTCTCCAAAAGCATGTCTACCAAGACAAATACGACTCTCAAGAAAACGCGTTGGAAATCTGTAAAAACGCTATTTTCACGCACTCTTCATACATTTTTCACCCTATACTTATCGGCGATTTTTTTCGCCCGAAGGAAATCTTCATTAATTTTCATTGCTTCAGATCCTTGTAAATTGATAAATGTGTTCAACTGTGAACATGTTTTGTTTAATAATGAATAATAAAGAAAAGATTACCGAACATATCATGTTTTATTGAAACGTTTCGACAACTACTGTTGTCTTCGTCAGTCAAAAATGAAATGAAGTTACAAAGAAAAACAATTACATATCTAGTATGAACACTTTCTTATAATTAGAAAGTGTTCATACTAGATATGTAATTGTTTTTTGTAACTTCATTTCATTTTTCTATAATATTCAACGAAATTGAACTCATATTAACCATTTCAACTATGATGACACTTTTCTTCGTCAAATTTTTACAACATTCAATTAGAACCTTATGTACAGAAACAATGAGAAATTTGCGAGAATGACTCATTATTCTCACTTTTTATGAGAGATATTTGAAAAAGAAATAAGTTAAAATATTTTCTGGAAATCAAGCGACTTAAAAAAGAATTTTCGTTTACAGGATTCAAAACCAATTTTCGCAATTGGCACTTTAAAGGAATTTCCTCAATTCAAAGATTATACTTCAGAATTCATGAATAACGCTTGGCCTACGTTTTTTGGGAGATTTACTGGTGACGAAGAACTGTATTCAATTTTGTATACAGAGTGGATTGAATATCAGGTTGTGTGCTTTGATCCGTCTAAAAATAAGCCATTGGGCTATGGTTTTGTAGTTCCAATACACTATGATGGTAATTTGGATAAACTTCCTGACGGTTGGAATAATGCCATTCTACAAGCATTAGATGATTATTCTTCAAAGAAAAATCCAACAGCACTCAATGGTATGGCCATCATTGTAGATCCAGATGCACAGAAGCAAGGTATTAGCTTGGAAATAATAAAGAAGATCACTGATATATGTCGTCAGCATAACTTCCATTCATTTATTGTTAATGTTCGTCCAATTCTAAAACATCAATATCCACTCATTCCCTTAGAAAAATACGCTCACTGGACGATACCAACCGGAGAGCCATTCGATCCTTGGATACGCACACACGTTCGCGCAGGTGGGGAAATAGCACACGTTTCGTCAGATGCTGTGGTGATTAAAGGAACCATCGATCAGTGGCAGACGTGGACTGGTCTGAGCTTTCAAGACAGCGGAGAATATATTGTAAAAGGTGCTTTGGTCCCAATCACTATAGACCTTGAAAATAACATAGGAATCTATCGTGAACCTAATATATGGATTATTCACACCATTAATCCCAATTCTACAAGTTCTTAAAACAAGTTCTAATCGTGCCACAGTGCTCATTATAATTACATAAACCTAATTACATTCAACAACTGCTAAAACTATTTTCGAGAAAATTTCGATTGAACTAATAAATATAGCATATCACCCCAGAGTGTTTTTAAAGAAAATGTTTTCGGAAACAAAATTGCATATTCGGAATCGGCATGATGAATTACCCCCGTCCCCGTCGAGATCTCGAGAGGGTACCTCTAACCATAAGCAAAAAAAATTCAACAATTATTAATGGAAAAATACATTGACAAAACGAGAAAAAATTCTCCTTGCACAGGATTCGAACCCGTCTCTCGTCATATATGCTCATCAGCCACTCGTGCTAAATGCGATTCATTCTCTTTTCTTTGCTCTCGTTCATCGTTCATCGAATTCAACAAAAAGATACATCTCAGCTAGATGATATTCAATAATAATATAATCTAAATTGATTTGTTTGAAAAAAAGAATTGTTTTTCTATTCATATAATAATTCTAAACAGAATTATCGATTAATAATGATCATGTTTATTTGTAATGACAATAAAAATACAACAAAAAGAAGGGATATTCTAATCATTTATTGACTTTTTAATGAACATAAATCAAATGACAAAGCGTTACAATCATTTTTTATGATAATAAATAATAGACAAAAAAACTAATATATATTCATTGTATCAATATGAAGATTTAAAATATATATTCCCTCTACTGAAAGAAGGGTATTACGAAAAATGAGTTAAATGCGTTCGTTCGTTCGTTCGCACCAATCAGATTTCGAGGATGGGAAAACACGTAATTCCAGCCTCAAAGTGACCTAGAGGCTCGATGCTCAGTTGGGGGATGCTTAGAATCGACACATCAGGTGTCACCATAGTGACGGCGCTGATCAATCAGATTTGGAGCATAAAAAAACGTATAATTTCGACCTTAAAGTGACCAAGACATTTCAGCGTGTAGAAGTGTTAGTGGCACACATCATCGATGTGATGTTCCCTCTACTGACAGGAGGGTCTTCCGCTGAGCGAGCAAAATTCGTACGTTTGTATGTATGTTCGTTCGTTCGTCTAATAGGAAAGCAGATGCATAAACTTAACTAACCTCTAACCATATCTGTAGGAATAGGGTTGACCGAAGGTAATCGGGGTCGGGGAACATGATGGCGTTGTCGGTTTTTTGAAATTTTGCAGTTTCCTTTTTTGAGGAGAGAGAAAGGCATTTTTAACAAAATATTAGTTTTTTATAAGGGCTGACCGAAGGTAATCGGAGTCAGGGAACTAGAATTTGGCGTTAGTTTTTCAAAATTGTCTAGCTGATTTTTCGGTAAACAAATATTGGTGCTGTGGGATCTATAGAACAGTTTGAAAAATAGAGCTACTCATTAAAATGAAGGAAATCGATTAGCTAGTGAAAATTCCATCGAAAAGGTTTTTCTTTCGCATATGGATATTTGAATGATTAGTATCCTTAACTAATCAACTGCTTGATTCGAGTAAAAATAGCTGATATTAGTGAGATGTGTAATTAATGCTTTATGATTTCTCGAGTTCAATCTAGTGTATAATAAATTGAGGGAATTTAGCACTTCACATTTTCAGTTAGTGATGTTTACATAGTGGATCCTTTCGAAACTATGGGTCTCACTGATGGTGCTAATGGTAGATATATTTTATTTATATTTAATGTCTTACAGGTGTGGTTAATAACCGTCTTTTTTTTATGAATTTCGTATTTTGTGGCAACGGCTAGCCGTGAGTGGCGTCCCGTAGGGGCGCCGACGAACGACTAGTCGCTCACCTGTCTGTATTGTGGTTTCATTGCTTACGAAAAACGTAGCATAAAACAGGTTTGGTTTGTTGAAGTATTGCACTATAATTCATTTTATGAAGCATTTCTACATACTCCATGGCGTAGATGGTATTAAAACTCTAGATATTGGATATGTTTCTTGAAAATCTCTCGTTTGCACGAAGTGTGTCAGCAGTTTCTTGCAAACATTAAGAATTTGTTCAGGCTTATCAGCTAGAATTCTCTTTAACCGAATAATGACCTCCTGATAAATTTTATAAGTACTTATGAACCTTTTGCTATTCCGCTTAAAATTGTAAGAAGTCGGTTAAAGGTGCAAATAAATCCGAAATCAATGTATCTTGTAGCTTTTGATGCCTGTAGGTTTGAAAATTCGAATGACATTCAAATGAGCGAAAGAAAAAAGAGCGAATAAAAAAGAAGGAAAGAAAAAATGTCGATAGGAAATTAGAGTCCTGCGGGAACGACTTTTTCCCGTATTTTCCCGTCCCGTTTCCCGCGGGAAGTGGGAACGGGAATTCCCGTGAAGACTTTTGCCCGGGAACACGGAAAACGGGAACAGCATTATAAATTGGCATTCCAGAAAGTTTTTTTATCAGATCTACGTATATGAGTTGAAATACATACATATTTATAGAATACTCTTTTATCTGGATTAGCCGTTTGATATGTAATTAACAGAAAAAATACAAATGTGTATCAAAAGAAAAAAGTTTATTGACTCGTCATTAAATTGCACATGGTTCTGTAATGCGCTTTTGAATTACAGGAGCTTTTTTTGATAAAGATGATGGTCGACATAACGAAGAAATTGTTCGTTATCGTACTGGGGTAGTTGAGGTAGATTTTTGCTTTGTACAATTATGATGACTCATAACTCTAGTACCATTTTCACTTATCCATTTTAACACCACTCTACATAGTGAACATATTATGTAATCAAGACCTTCATTTTTATAATAAATTTGTGAATAGTTTGTCCAAACTTCACTTCTAACATTTGCTGGTTTTGCAAACGAAATCGATGGATCATTTAATTTTACCAATGCTTGAATGTCAACTTTGGATAAAGTTGATTTAGGTGGCTTTGTTATTGACATGTATAAAATTTGGTATATACAAAGCTCAACGAAAGAAAGTAAATTGGCTGTAAGTGAGTAAACTAGCTCTGTGATTTATCAGACGAATATCCAATCGTAAATTTATTCTAAATATATCCTATGAGACATTGTGAAACGCCAAATGTCGCAGTCATCCAGCATGGAGTACAAAAAACAGGCATTTTAATAAAACAGAATGAAATGACCATAGAAGTAACAAATGCATTACGGGAACGGGAACACGGGAACGGGAACACGGGAACGGGAACACGGGAACGGGAACAAAATTATTTTCGCGGGAACGGGAACGCGGGAACGGGAACGAAAATTTTATTCTACGGGAATGGGGACGGGAAACGGGAACAATAAAAGTTGTTCCCGCGGGACTCTATAGGAAATACATATGTCGAAAACTAAATGTTGAACACTATAATAGCGAAAAATAAAATGTCGATCATATGAAAATAGCGAAGAATATATTTTCCCGTAAATTAAAAAAACAATTTAAAATTCAGTAAGTGATATTTTATTCCTTCGTTTTCTTGTGTTATCTATTTTCACTGACTAGCACTTTTCGTCAATAGTATCACCGTAGAATCTAGCTGAAGGAATGAGCACGAAGAAAGAAAAAAAATATATACTTAAAATAAAGATACGCCATATCCTGTTTTTTTTATTACATATCACTTGCTGTTAATTTAGTATAATTTTTAAAAGCATCATATACCAGCATTGTGTCTTTTAGCATCACTAATAAAGGTAATCCTCTGCTAATTTTAAATGATTTTGCATATCGAGTAAAAAATGAAACACTATTAAAAAAATATTGGATTTTCTGAAAGAAATAGATACAATATGTATATACATATATAAATATACAGAAAGCTTTTTTGAAATCGCTGTAGACTATTAAATGAAAATAATATTTTCCCTTACATTTAACACTACATGCAGTTTCTTTCGTTCAAATGGCGCAATTGAAGATAATATACAGTAATTTTATCATTGCAATAATTTTTTTAATTTTTTTATTCTAGATTAGTAAATGGAAAAATATTTTTTCAGGTAAATTCAACATTAGAAATGCTTTTTTCTCGTTCAAATGGATCGACTGAACATAGGATACCGTAGCTTTGCTCGCAAAATTATTATTTCTATTGTTCTATTCTAGATCGTCAATGGAAAAGATAAGTTTCAATTATATTTTAGATTACGTTTGTTTTCGCTCAGGTGGTGCAAGTGAGCATGATAAATAGTTTTTTTGTGGAACTCACATATATTTTTGAAGAAAATGGTGAGTGTAAGTTTAAAAGCGAGATTTTTGCGGCTCGCCCCCATTACAGACATTAATGAGTTTAAAATTGTGCTAATTAGGAGCTACACTAATTAGGCTGATATTTCTTCTTTTGTTTTTGTTACAGATTATAGGAGAAAAGCAAGGCCTACCCATTACAGACCATAGCAGCTAGGTTAGGCCACCATTACAGACCATATCAACCAGGTATGCGCAGCGTTACAGATCCTAGCAACCGAGTTGTGCTACCATTACAGCTCATAGCAACTCGGTCAGGGTACCATTACAGACTATAGCAACCAGTTAGAGGTAGCATTACAGACCTTAGCAACTAGTCTGCTATTTTTTAAAGATACCAGCTAACAATAAACACTCCATTACAGACATACGCAAATATGCAATGAACTGATTATAGATTTTGGAAATAAAGGTAGATTTTTCATTTGATTTCTTTAGAATTATTTTAGTCAGTCTAAGGGATATTTGTGAGTTCCACATTTTAGCCCCAACGGGGCTGCGCTAACAAGCTTTTTTTTATTGATTTCATAATTTTTTCTTTTTTCTGTTGTAGATTATTCTAATGAAATGTTCATATCAATGTGGATGTGATAGTGCATATTCTTTATGGCTTTGGATAATCGGAGTTAGCAAGGTGGTTACGGTATGTTTTTGGTGGTACTTGAGCGGTGCGGTCGATGTGTTGCAATCATCGGTATTTGCGAATGTGCGTGGAATTAATGTAGTAAGCTTCTTGGGCCAGACATACTCAGTTAGAGACTGAGCCTCTTTTTTTTTCTCTCAAATGCCAATCCCTTGAGCCTGCAGGAGTGGGCTGTAGAGGCCTCGCTTCGTTTGCACACAACAGTGCTTCAGAGGCTCGAGTTGAATCCGAATCCATATATGTGGTGGTTCGAAAGGATTTGCGATGAGACTCGTGTAACGGTGGTCTCATAACTTGATAAAGTAACTGCTATGAAATAGCTTGTACGAAACCTCATCTGCTAAACCCTTTTTGGGGGGTTTATTGCAATTGGTTCCGTACTGAACCAGTTTTGTACGAAACTTAAAAAGGTTTAGAATTCGTTTCAAAATTCGAAACCTTTTTAAGTTCGGTATGGTACCTTTTTTTTCAGTGTAATGGCGTCAATTATTATACTGAAGTATCGTGAAGTCACAGAGGCTCACATTTCTAAAGAAACATACCCATAGTTTCATAAAATAAAAGCACTGGGACGAAGAAAATACCTTTAACATACACGTTTGCAATAATACAGATTCACTACTAACTTCACTTTATAGTCTATGACACACATGGAAACTTACTTCTATGCGAATGAGGAGGAAAAATAAAAATGGGAGGACTATAGAATAGAATGGTAATTCAGTAAGTAACGTGCCGTCTCCGTTAGCGTCGCTTAGCTTGATGTGGAGAATCTCTACTCACAGGCTTGATCTTACGCGATTATCCGCAAACCGTTCCATGACGCTGATCATTGAAATACTGTCACAAACATAATATTATTTAGAGCAAAACTCTGAGGAATATCTTTACAATAGAGACTGATCATACTCCAAATCCCTTTTTTCCCCAGGTAGATCGTTTTTTTTTGAAGATACGCGTTGTGTCTCCAATTGCTCCTCTGGCTCTAACTTTTCTCAAATTATCTCAATTAATCAGATGACGAGCCAATTCTTTCATATGTTAAGTGTAGGAAACTTATACTTATTCAGAAAAGATCTCCTTAGATCTATTTAAGTGAAAGTTTTTAAATGACGGTGAATTTTCTTCTTGATAACCATAGGTTTTTTGTGATTTTGTATAAATTTTTGTGGACACTCACGAAATATAGGAATCAGCAGATAAGACTACACTAACAAAAAGAGAAAGAGTGATAAGGAAGCGAAAACGAACAGAATGAAAATTGAAATCGAGACAGTAATGACGAAGTTGGCATGTATTGCTGTTATTCATTTTCTTTATTCTTCCAATACCATATATCTTGAAACCGAAAACACTGTGCTGGTGGAAGGGAACAAACCTTCTCATCTCTAACTAAAATCAGATGCATAGGACCACTACGACATCCCCGACATTTAAGTGAATTGAATAGCTGACAAACAACAAGAAAAGAGTGTTGGACACGAATCGTTGATTTCTCAAAATTTTCAGAAGCTCGACAACTCAGTACTTTCATATATGGACGAAATGCTTGGCTCTGACTCTAACCACATAATCAGGATTGAATTTACAGTTGTGGTGTTGTTTGCAATAATATGAATAATCGTGAGTTTTCTTCGACGAATTCTTTCTATTCATGCTTATACATAAAATCGTACATTATTAAAGTATTTCTGGTCGCTCTAGAAGAGAATGGCAGAATTTATGACTTGGAATGCCCATTTATCACCAACAGAAAACCTCACAATTACATTAGTAATCAACAAGGAAGGACACAAAAAAGTGTTGATGCAGTTGGTTATACTACTCATGGATCAGTTGCGGTGTAGAAGTAGCATAAGTTCCTTTAATAGCAAACAGCAAATTTTCCTCCGCTAGTCAACGGTTAACGCTTTAGCTACAAGATTACTCAATGATACGATGGTCAGTAACTACACCTAAATGTGAGCCTTCTGATCTTGTGAAAAACTTGGAAGAGAATATGAACTCCGAATACATGTAAAGCATTCATTTTGTTTTTAACTGTTCCCTTCTATTAAATGTGCTATTCTGTGATGAGAAATACTCGTATATCTGTTATCAATTAAAATTACTGAATTCAAACAAATCATAAGTCAGTGTTTTAAATCAATGAAAAGAACATATCGAATAGCAAAGACTTCGTTAAAGAAAAGAATTCTTAATGAGTCTTGTGAGTTTTTATTTTTACGTACCCATTTAACAAAATAAGAAAAAAATCAGTCGTGATTCGATAAAAAAAGTTCACTATTTGTCAATTTCAATCAAGAACAATCGGAAAAGCATAACAATTGCATTGATTGTTGAGATTGATTGATTAAAAATTCGTGAAAACAACACGATTATGATTGATTTTAATCATCTTTTTATCTAATTGCATCTGATCTTCACTCGCACCATAGGTATATTCTAAACTTTATATTGGATTTACCTCTTGAACTGTTATGAAGTAGTAAATAGAGAGTACTCCTGATTTTTATAGTCTCAGGTCTTATGTGAACAAAGATTACATGAAAACTGTCGATTTTCCATTCGTTGAAATTATATGCACAAGCAATTTCACTATCTGATAACTTTGTTTGAGATCTATAATCTTACTTATTACTGATATAATTGAAAATTCAAGTAATTTATGAAGCTTACAACCCAATTATTGATTATTTTTACCGCCAATTATAAATTTTGTATCATTGTCGCAGTATTCGATTTTAAAGGATAAAACTGATATTGTACATATCTATACTGTACGCACGGGATGAATACATGGTAAGAATGATGCAAGCTACATCACTTTAATGAAACAAAAATTAAAAGGCATATGATTGAACTTCATTGGTGAATTTCGAAATTATCATGAAAATCATGTGATTAGAATCATTAGAAACATCATAATGACATAGATTAGCATTTGAAAGGACTTCAGCTGCGCTATTTTGTCGTGTCATACTGCTAGCGAGCGTCTTGGGAGCATAATAGTAATAATCAGAGATAAAACCAGTTTGTCTATTGATACTGAATAGTAAATTGAGAACTGGTTACCAATTCTATATCTGATGGCAGCTGAGATGACCATACGAATCTTGCCTTTCGAAGCGCTGTTCTATGAGCTCTCTAATCTCCCGCTACATTGCAAACAATTATTGACTGCAGGCTACAATATAAAATGGTGTCGCTTGCCATAGGTTACTGTAGATACCTTAATTTCTGGACAATATTGAGAGTAATTAAATTCATAGGATGATATTAGTGTTCTACAATCACCAAGATCATCATACGAAAATGATTATGTAGAAACAAAAATAATACAGTGATCATAATTTCTTGAGATCACACAAGTTCATTCGATGTATATAATGGACAAATAATGAAAATAACTGAAGGACTTTCGTTTTTTCGAAATTCCGACATTGATCAAATGAAAAAGATGTAAAAGCAAAAAACAACTAATGCAATGATATCAGTTTTTGACATATGAATAAAATCACAAAACGTATAGGGATCCCAATGGATTACCAGAATACCCATGAGATCCGCAATTCTCATTGCATTCATTGGATTTACAAAGGATATCCCTGGGTCCCAGATCTTGGGGATCCGCCTATTCTCTCAGCCATTGCGACCAGTACTATAAACAGCAAAAACGAAATATATAGAACAGGATAACTTTTACCTAATCTGCTCTCTGAACTCATTTCAAATTTCTCATTTCCCAGAATTTTTCTAATATATATTTTCAGATTTGATTTTCTCCATCTTTCAATCTCTCGCTTTTACTGTTCTTGTTTCTTGGCCGCCCTGTGGTAGATTTCTTTCGAACATATTCCATTTCTACATTATCTCTTCGGTTGCTCAAATTGTAGTGACTGTGCAAATTCGATAAATTATTGATAAAATGGAAACCATTATACCATTTGATATTCACAAATCACAATAATATTCTACGATTCTGCTTATATTTCACTCACATGTTTTACCTTTCCAAAACAAAATATAATAATATTCACTCTATCGTTATCATCATGAAAGATACATATCGAAATATCATTTCATAAAAATTAAAATAATTGTTCAATTAAATGCTTTTTTTCTAGTATTTCAATATCACAAGAGCAATGATGGGTTTTCTAAGTTTTCAACTTTTCTGTGATTAATCTCGAGACAGAGAATTTCTAAAAACCATACAGGTAAGTGTTATAGGCATGCACCAAACCCGGGTACAAACCGCGTTTTTTGGGTCAGTACAACCTGGATTCGGTCATACCCGGTTCCCGGGTTTCATCATACCCATATTCGTATCCTTCGAAGCATATTAATGAATAATAAATAGCACCTATGGATATATAATAGGTGTTAAAGATGAATTCATGTCAAAGATTATTTGCCTAGCTCAGCCTATCATAGTTAATCTCATTTATCAGGAGCAGATGTAGTTAAATGAGCTTCTCTTAATATTTATTTTGGACTCAACTACAAAAAAAAATCGTGGAATGGTTCCGCTTATTAAATTTTTCGGAAATACAGATGTATGGTTTTGTTCCATCGACCTACTAACAATTTCAATACTAATAATGCTAATATCAATACCACCGATACTAAATTGTATTGGTATTGGTATTGGTAGTATTCGAATTCTCACATCCCGACGTAGACTATCAGAAGGATCATTTCAATAAGGACAGCCATTTGACGATTTCCTGTAGCTGAGTCCAAAAAATATTGATAAAACCTTATTTAATTGTCTGCTTTCCTGATAAATAAGAATATCTATGGTGGATTGAGGGAGAGCTGATAAAACTTTAAAATAAAATTTTTTTTTTATTACCTGTCTATAGGTAATATTTATTATTCATTTATGCACTGCGAAGGATACGAATAAGTAGACACAGGGATCCCGTTATCCAATCTGCTTATGACCGAACCCGAATATGACCGAATACCGGGTAGTTCGGGTTTGGTGCATGCCTAAAGTGTTAGTCTCTTAACACATAAAAATGACTAGTCTAGTATGGTTAGGTCCTACACAACAGGAACTAGGTTATCGCTACGAAACAGCTCATAATCTGTAAATCATTGCATTCTAATTTCTCTGAAATTCAAAAACAGAGAAGAATAATCTTACTTGTAATTGTCCGCGCAGTGGTCGTCGTGATACCTATAAGCAATATGAAAATTTAGCAATCTCTCATCAGCTGGCCTGAAACTTACCACTGCATGAGCTACGTGCTACAACATTAATCTTTTGCACTCGCATTCCAATGTAATCAGCAACATACAAATTTCCAAACGAATCCATCGCCATGCTGTATGCAGTTGAACCAAAGGCGCTATTATAGGATGCATCAAAGATTGTAACACCAACTTTATTTCCTGGTGTAAATTGTTGAATTCGTTGATTACCTGCATCCAGAATGTACATGTTTCCATACGCATCAATGATGATTGCAGTAGGCCAATTGAACTGAGTGGAAAAGGGTCGTTGCCAGAATCCACCTGCCACGAGAATGCCACTTGTTGCATTGACTGTCCACTTGACTACTCGATGATTTCCAGAAACTACCACAAATATATTCGCATTTCTATCAATCCAGATGCCTTGTGGACCATTGAGATAAGTAAGATTCGAACCAGCCACTTCGGTGCCAGCTACAAGAATTCCAGAAACTGTATTTTGAGGCCACGTAGTAACTCGACGGTAAGCATTGTCCGAAACAAACAGAGTACCATACGAGTCGACATACAGACCATAGCTTGCTGATATACTATTGTACGATCCACTAGCACTACCTGAGCCATAGCCAGCGACAGTTGTACCAGCCACAGTTCCAGGAGTTAGTGACCAACGTTGTATCCGGTAATTATAACTCGAGCCGTAGTAATAGTTTGATGAGATATATCCGCCGATATCAGACATATAGATACTGTTTGTTTTTTCCTCAATGAAAAGTCCTAGGATGAGGCCAATTTGACTGAGAGATGAGCCGCCAGTATTCAAAGTTTGATATATCATTGGTGCTATTACGTTGCTATTCGAAAACGTGGTTGTATTTGTCGAAAACTTGTAGACACGAACGGTAGAGTCGCTTACATAGATGTTATTTGATGTATCTAGTGCTGTGGCGTATGGATAACCCGTGAGATTAGTGATAACTGATGTTGCATTGGTTTTGTAAACTGCGGTTGAACATGTAGCTACTGAAGGCCTAGTAGTCGCTGTAAGAACGAGAAATTCATTATAAAAGTAACAAAACACAAGGTTTTATAGTGTTTCAATCGTGTACATCATTTGCAAAACTTGGTCAGGATGGTTTAGGATCCTGAATCTCAAAGATTCTGTGTTTTTTTTCAAGGTCATTTCCGAATCTTAGTGATAGCTGATTTCATGATTTTTCAAGTTGAAACAATTTTCTATCCAGGATTTCTGAAAGTTCCTGGTCGGAGCCTTTTAAAGATTTAGTGTTAGTTTTATATAGCAAGGTCACAAAGAGCATACGAAGAATTTCGTCAAGATTTCACTACTTTGGAATGAAGATATTTTCGAGGTTCTGATAAGAAGGCTCAGTTACGAGTCATCCTTATTTATGAGAGGAATCATAGTAGAAATAAAGCATGACTAGTTTTGAACGAACTTTTCAAGAATTCTACGTATTTATTCAAAAGAAATTGGTACCATAATGATTCACGTAGCTTTATGTTTTGTGAAACACGATCTGAAAGGAGTGTTGAAGTAATAAGGGTAGAAATTTGGAGCCATCCCTCCGCCCACCAACAGACCGGGACAGAGAAATTAATTAATTAACTTTTCTGTCACGGTCTGTGATGGTCTCTATCGGCACCATAGATCAATATACAGATCGTGACCGAAAGGCTGTATATATGATTACAGACAATGGAAGAAAAGCTACAAAGACTCACAGGCCGTGGTAGACAGTTTCCAGTAAAGGAGTTCCATCGTGCTTTACATTTTAACCCCACAGCGATTTCGCTAAAAGCTTTTGTTTTCTCAATTCATTTAATTCTTCGTGTTTTGAAATTTTCGATCCTTTATTCGATCATCTTCATGTTGAATTCAACATTCAGTTAAAATTTAGTTTTTGAGAACGGTGTCAAACGTATATGAAAGATCGAAAATTTCAAAACACTAAAAATTAAATGAATTGAAAAAACAAAGCTAACTGCTTGAATCATTATGATATCAATTACTTTTGAATCACGCATGAGTAGTCGAATTTATCAATGAAGGGTGTCTATCAAAGTTCGATCAAAGTTTTGATAAAAACTTTAAAAAATTGACACGCGCACCGTCATGAATGAATTCAACGAATGGCAAAAATCTTGGAAAAACTCTTAAAACCTATTTTGAAGTTTAAATATATTTTGTATTGAGATTCGCACAAAATCACTGCATTGCTTTCTTCATTTCATCAGAGAGGAAAAGTAAAAATCATCAAGTAAATATATCGATTTGAATTGACCCACCATAAAATGATTTCCATTAAATGGATACTTCGATAAAAACTTCTTATGCTTTTAAATAATGCTCGAAAAAAATTGAAAAAATAGTCTTTTAATCGAATTCAACTTAAAGACAATAGCAAAGTGTCAGAAAGTAAATTACAATTGCGGAATAATATTTCATTGATAGATTTTTTGGAATTGAATGCTTCATGTAACAGAACTATTCCCCATGCACATGATTTGGACTCATATTGGCATGTCCATCTGCTCTGTACCCGATGCAACCGAAAAGGAACCTTCAATATCCGATTCAGTGAGCATAAAATTTTGCTCAAGATGTTGCCCAAATTATTTTTTTGTAAAATCCTTTCTTTTATCGTAGTATAAAAAAAGATATGTAATTTCGTACAGAATTCCACTCCATATGTGATGTAATAGATTTCAGCATTTTTTTTATGAAGAGCACTCAGGCTCAAAAAACGAATTTAACAGTTGGCAATGTTGAAAAATGGAACTTTTACTAGTCAGATTTAACCCAATTTTTAATTTAGCGCCTGCTTCGCCCGTGACCTGGTAAAACTAATCTATTCACATATCTACTATCATCGTTTAATGGAAAATGATCAAGCCAAGCTTCCGAACTCCGAGGAGACAGTTAACTGGAATTCCTGTCTATACATATTTTGTAAAGGATTACTAAATAGAGACTATTATGAAATATAATATGCACAAATAACGATGGAATTATTCGACTGTCCTTTTTTTGATGCAAATGTTCCGTGTATCTTATAAAAATTTAACACTTACCTCTGCATCTATATCGTAATAAGAAAGAAACTTCAAAACCCTATATCATTCAAAGAAAAACTATGCTTCGTTACAATATATTTTTTCTGATATCCAATATTACCATCATAATGCTTCTTTCTTTTCTATCCCAAGCCAAAGGTTCTACAGCGTAGCTGATAATCTGAAAACCCAAAAATACAAAAACAATAATCTTACTTGTAATTGTTGGTGCTGTGGTCGTCATTATTCCTAAATTTATTATGAAAATTTAGCTATCTCTTGTTCTGTCTTCGAGCTTACCACTGCAAGAACTGCGCGTTACGAGAGTAATCTTTTGCACTCGCATTCCATTGTAATCCGCAACGTACAAGTTTCCTAACGAGTCCATGATCATACTATATGCAGTTGAACCAAAACCGCTGTTATAGGATCCCTCGAAAACCGTAACACCAACATTGCTTCCAGGTGTGAACTGTTGAATCCGTTGATTACCTGCATCCAGAATGTACATGTTTCCATACGCATCAATGATGATTGCAGTAGGCCAATTGAACTGAGTGGAAAAGGGTCCTTGCCAGAATCCACCTGCCACGAGAATGCCACTTGTTGCATTGAGTGTTCATTTGACTACTCGATGATTTCCAGAGTCCACCGCAAATATATTTGCATTTCTATCGACCCAGATGCCTTGTGGACCATTTAGATAGGTAAGATTCGAACCAGCTACTCCAGTGCCAGCTACAAGAATTCGAGAAACTGTATTTCGAAGCCACATAGTGACACGATGTTTACCATAGTCCGAAACAAACAGAGTACCATATGAGTCGACATACAGACCATAACTTGTTGATATACTATTGTACGATCCACTAGCACTACCTGAGGCGTAGCCAGCAACAGTTGTACCAGCCACAGCTCCAGAAGCAAGCAACCAACTTTGAATTCTGCTGTTGGTACCGGCGTAGTAATAATTTGATGAACTGTATGCACCTGTGTCAGACATATAGATATTGTTTCGTGTTTGATCAACGGAAAGTCCTAGGATGAGACCAATTTGACTGAGAGTTGAGCCACCAGTATTGATCGGTTGAGACGTGGCGGGTATTATGACATTGCTATTCGAATATGTGGTTGTATTCGTCGAAAACTTGAAGACACGAACGGTGGAGTCACTCACATAGATGTTATTGGATGCATCTATTGATAGACCGTAGGGATAACCTGTGAGATTAGTGATAATTGAATTTGCGTTAGTGTTGTAGACTGCATTTGAGCATGTTGCCATTGCGGGAGTTGTAGTCGCCGTAAGAAAGAGAAATTCATTATGAAAGTAACAAAGCACAATATTTTATAGTATCGCAATACTGTTCATCCTTTGTGAAACTCGGTAAGGATCGTTTAGGATTCTAAATCTCAAAGATTCTCTGAAGGGTTTTCGAAGACTGATTTTCGAATCCTAGTGATTCCTGATTTCCTGATTTTTCAAGGTGGAACAAGGTCCTATTGAGGATTTCGTGAATTTCCTGCCTCGATGATTGTAAGAGTCTGTGTTAGTTGTATCTAGTAACCGCAAAAAAGTCATTAAGAGAATTACGTTAAGGTTTCATTAGATTGAAGGGAAGATACGTTTGGGATGCTGATAGGTCTATCAAGCCAATAGGTATGCATAAGTCGGAGAAGAAGCGAAGTAGGAATAAAACAAGACTTATCGAAATTAACAATGAAGGTTCGCTGTCAAAGTTCGATCAGGACTTTGATAAATAATTAAAAAACTTGACACACACATGGTCATAAATAAATTCAACGAATGTCAAAAATGTTCGAAAAACTCTGAAAACCTGTTTTGAAGTTTGAATAAAATTTGTATTGAGATTCGGACAAAAGAAATGTATTGTTTTCTTGATTTCATCGGAAAGAGAAAATAAAAATGGCAAAATCAGTTTGCCAATTTGCATTCAGTCACCATAAAATGTTTTTTGTTGATTGGGTATTTCGATAAAACTGCTTATTTGTTTAAACAATGCTCGAAAAAACTTGAAAGTATAGCCTTTTAATCGAACTCAAGTTAAAAACAACAGCAAATTCTCAGTAACTAATTTACAATTCTGAAATAATATTGCATTTATAGATTTTTTGGAATCGTTTTTTTCGTATAGCAGTACTATTCCACAAGGTTATGATTTGCACAGATATTAGTAGTTCAAGGTGTTCTCTACCCGATACGGCCGTACATGAACTATCAACATCCGATTCCGGGAGAATGAAATTTTGCACAAAATTGTTTTTTTTGTAAATTTTTTGCTGACATCGCAATATGAAACAAAGAGACATGCTATTTCGTACCGTATTCAACTCCCGATGTGATGGAATCTATTTCAGCTTTATTATAAAGGGCAACTGTTAGCGTTCATGTTGGATCACACTAACGCTAAACGATGATTTAGTTGCGCTTTCTAGTATAACGGTAGTACATCTGCCCGGTAAGCAGAAGATATGGGTTCGATTCCCATGAAGGTCATCTTTTTCATCGTTCTGTCACATAACATCAGTGACACTGCTTGTCTCTTTCGTTCTATACATATTAGAGCCTAACAGCAACCAGGTACAAAGCTCAATTTACTAGTTGAAAATGTTATAACATGAAAGTTTCACAAGGAAGATTTAACTAAACTATTTATTCAGCGCCAGTTTCACCAGTAGACTGGGAAAATGCGTCTATTCACATATCTGTTATCCTTGCTCAACGAAAAATACTCAAATCGAGCTTCCAAAATCAGAGGAGACACTTAGTATGGCATCGAATACGCAATCGATTTTCTGATCATTTTTGTCTAGTCTATTCGTCGAAAAACAATATTCACACTTTTCGCGCCTGTGGTCCTCCTCAGGTATCGTGAAAACAAATGTTTTTTATTGATCAACCAAAATCACGAGAGATTGAAGATGGAGGAATACTGAAGACGAATATAATCATTAGAACACTCAAAAAACGTTTATTATTCAACTAAGCTTAAGCACTCTTTGAACCCATTTCTCATTATTTTGACTATTCTAGCATAATTTTCCGCTTAATTTTAGTGAAAAACACTTTTTTTTAGCTCAAAATGTTGCGCTCTATACGAGTCTGACTTTTTTACTACCCTACACTTTGGAATCTGGAAACAAAATAGTGATTTCCGAGGAAAAATTCATCTTTTTTTTTAACAAATAAAATTTAGTCCCTATGATGGATTATGAAATCACTGTTACCGCAACCTACAATTCGGATCATTAATGCCATTTTTCAAGATCTATCGATTGGCAACATTTAAATAATTGAAATGATGTGGAACAGGTCGTAAACTTGAAATACTCACGAAAGAAGCCCTTTTTTCTAGATCTGCCTATATAAGTTTGATTTTCCGCGTGAGATCAGTCTTTATGGGACGTGAAGCTCGAGTCATATATTTTACTCTTCAAGTGCTATTGATTGAGAGTCGCGAAAAGACGAAATCATGTACAACAGAGGAATAATACTAAAATACTGAATATTCAGTTTTATTGTAGTCATTTTGTGGGTATTTCTGTAATTAATTGAATGATGATGGGCTTTTCAGAATGAAAACATTAGGTTTAGAGCACCCGTGTGGTATCTCTATCAGTTAATGATGGTAGTTATAAATAATCAGATCAAAGATGGAATGAAGTGGATGAGATCTTCATCTATTATTACATCTGATATAATTTCTATGGTGAGTCAGTGGTAAATTGCTCTTAGAGAACAATTAGGTACAAAAAAGCATTATTTGAGCTCTTGTATAGTGGATTTGGAAAAGAAAACATCATAGTACCAGTGGAATAAATTTGGGGATTGCAAGAAGTCATCTGTAATTGGTGTCTGATTGCGAACAAATAGCGAAGAAAAGCATGGAGATATCATAAGGAGCCTCGCTCAATTTCATCAAATCATATCCGATATTTGATTGCGTTTTTTTCCCAATCATTAAAAAGTTAGTTTGAATTAAAAGAAATATATAAAAGGACCCCGCCGGATAAAAAAATTTTCTTGAATCGATTTCATTTTTATACAGTATTGTAGAGCTCGTTGAGATACATCAAATGGTATATAG